TCTTGTTATTTAACTATGTCAAGATCAATTAAATTTCAAATTCGAGGGCACCTTTAAGGCGCAGTCATATTGATAAAATGTCTCAGACAATAAGGTACATTGTCCAATGAAGTCACATTCAAACCAAGCAGCTTTCTGTTGGTCAACGTGGTAAATTTGTGTGACCAACTTGAAACCGATGCGAAATCTGCATTTGGAAATCTTTCCCCCATCAAGAAAATTCTAATTATGTGGACTATCATATTGCACTTCTGGTTTTAGTTTGTTTGGCAGACACTTTGCCAAAGCAATGGCATACAACAACATTAGAGACATTTTGTGTTATTACGAGAAGTTTGAAATATTTTTGGTTCATTATGAAACTGTGCATCATTTTTAAACAATTATGTAACAAATTATTATAAAAGTTTCAGTGTCCAAATTGTGTAGAGAACTTTAGAATTTCTCGTCACACAAGTTTCACAAATTAGCTTTTGATTGGTGACTTGGAAATATTGTCTAATAAATATCATATAGAAAAATGTATTAGTTGCATTCCTTATCATATCTAGGTTTACATGAAAAAAATAAATAAAATTTCGTCATTCTCAGGCTTTAGGACCCCACTGCATGTGCAGATTGTTCAGAATCTTGTGACTGGTCATGTGTGCAGGGTCCTGTCAGAGGTGTACTTTGAAGAGCGCTTCGCTGAGCTGCCAGAGTTCCGTCCAGAGGAGGTTCTGCCCTCTCCAACCCTGCAGAGTCTGGCCACCTCCCCACGAGCCATACTGGGCAGCTACCGCAGGAAGAGGAAAAACTCCACCGGTGAGAGTAACATTCAGATCTCTCCACAGACTAATGAGTTATTGAGTTATATGAGTTATGCTGGGCCAGCTAATTTCTTCTTTCATATCAAATCAAAAATCATCTATTCCTCAATCCCACTTCTGTATGCAGACCTGGACTCGTCCACAGAAGATCCTATCTCTCCAAAAAGGAAAAGCCGCCGCAGATCTAGCTGCAGTTCAGAACCCAGCACACCTAAAAGCGCTGCAAAGTGTGAGGGGGAAATTTTCACCTTTGATAGGCCAGGTAATACTCCACTACCCACAAAACCTTCATGATTCTGTAGCCTGTCGTTCTGTAGTTACACGGATTCAACTACATTATAATAACCCTTCTCTCTCTCTGGTAAAGATGGAGAGGATGTACTGGGGGAGCTGGAGTTTGAAAAGGTGCCCTACTCCTCTCTCAGGCGAACTCTTGATCAGAGGAGAGCACTTGTCATGCAGCTATTCCAGGAGCATGGCTTTTTCCCTTCAGGTAATGCACACACTTGTATAGAGTCCTGTACCACCCACACATCTCATAGACAGCACACATAAAGCTCATAAGTGCAATAAAATACAAATCATTCACTACACTAATCTGGTGCAATGGAAATAACATAATTCATGAGACCCACAGTATAATAACATTTTTAAAATTAAAAATATATTATGAATATCTCAGAATGCATGGTTGAATAAGCATAATTATCTGAAATATTTGCCACACATTTTTCTATAATTAATAGCGATTAACGAAGTGTTTTATATTTTTTCAATCATTCAATCTCCAAATTAATGTAGAAACAATATAAAGGCGGTATATTTTACAGGCATTAAAGTTCTCCATTTCTACAACAGATTTCCGTTAATTGCTGCGAGTCTGTGATGAATTTCCTTCATGCAGGGTTCCTGTCTGTCCTTAATGTCTTTAATTCACTTTTCATAATTTTAAGGACATAAATAGGCTTTCATTTCTCAAACAATGTAATAAAAGTCTTAATTTTAGTTTGAATTGATGGAATAGGTCTTAAATTAAGGAAAGACGAGGTGTAGTCAGCCTGATGAGGGGGATGTGATCAAAGCTTGGAGAGGAGCGAAAGCACGTTCCTCTCTCCACTAGGGTTGGTTATCGTTTGGGTTTTATATGATTCCTGTACCTACTCTGTATTTTTTAAACGGTTCCTATGCTTAAACGGTTCTTGAAACGGTACTCGAGAAAACGAAACTGCACACATTTTGTCAAAAAATAATGCCCTTTTATTTACAGGCCCAAACTGGACACAATATTAACTTAAATCTTTAAACAATATAAATACTAGTAACATATGGTAATAATATAAACCAATATAAATAAAATTCAGATTTACATAATATCAAATAAAACAATGTAATAATACTGGAGATTAATAGAGATTACTACCAGGGTAAACATGGCTACAGGTTCCCATGTTTTCCCATGGCTTCAGACAATTGGAACACTTAGAGGGCATACTGGCGCGTAATTTTACACGTGAAATGCAGCCAAACCTTGAAACGTTTTTTCTTCGGCATCTTCATTAATCCCCTCGCTATGAGCAGATGTTCCGGAAGTCTCCCGCATATTGATAATGGCTCCCCGATGCCCGCAAATTAGTTAAAATCTCCCGGAATCTAGAGCGCGCATGCGAGACAGACTGTGCTACAAACCGTATAGTGCGCGCACGGCGGAATGGAAGAGAGCGAGAGACTTTGCGTGACTCAGGCACTGAAATTTTTGTTCTTATTTGGTCTGGTTACTACCGTTTACGTCGGAACCGGTTCCCTATTGGCACCGCGTTTCGGTACCCAACCCTACTCTCTACTAGGGGTGGGGAAAAAAATCGTATTTTACATGCATCACGAGACGGACGTTATATATGTATAAATATACAGGTCTTTCTCAAAAAATTAGCATATTGTGATAAAGTTCATTATTTTCCATAATGTTATGCTAAAAATTAAACTTTCATATATTTTAGATTCATTGCACACCAACTGAAATATTTCAGGTCTTTTATTGTTTTAATACTGATGATTTTGGCATACAGCTCTTGAAATCCCAAAATCTCAAAAATTAGCATATTTCATCCGACCAATAAAAGAAGTGTTTTTAATACAAAAAAAAGTCAGCCTTCAAATAATTATGTTCAGTTATGCACTCAATACTTGGTCGGGAATCCTTTTGCAGTAATGACTGCTTGGCATGGAGGCAATCAGCCTGTGGTTGATAAGACATTGATTAAAATTAAGATACAATTAATATAAAATGAAATTCACTTTAAAGAAGTTTGAGGTCTCTGTGAAAGTTTTAGTGCCGCTTCCAGAACTGTCACGTCCGTAACATTGTTTTTTCCTCATAAACGGGAACACAAAAAAGTCTGAGTCTGAGTTGGGCGTCCCTGGGATAGTCCAATAGTAGTTAACCTCTCCTTTTCAGTTTCTGTCTCCATCTAATGCTGTCTCCTCTCCCCCCCTTTCACCCCTCTTTCTGTCGATCAATAGCTCAAGCTACTGCTGCGTTCCAGGCGCGATACGCTGATATCTTCCCCACTAAGGTGTGCTTACAGCTCAAGATCCGTGAGGTCCGGCAAAAGATCATGCAAACGGCAGCTCCGTCGGAATCGGCTGGCATTTCCGATCTTTCCTCGTTACCGGGGCCTTCTGGGGTGGCGATCAGTGACATGGCTGTGGGGGCAGACCCTCAGGAAAGAGATGTGGAGCGAGAGCGGGAGCTGAACAGCCCAGAGGAGCCCAGAAACGCTGGCGATTCACAGGACTCTACCAGATGAGGTTGACGGGCAAACCAAAAGGATGGTTTGAAGACCAGATGTCTCCCCTCAACATCTGCATGATCTACATTTGTTGTCTTGTCTCTGCTATGACCGACTGCGAAGGACATAGAGAGAAAAAACAAGAGCAAAATTTTCATGTCTATGGTGAAGATGAGGGGAGACGCCTCAAAACACTTTGGAGTTTTAGAGCTTTTCAGTATTTTACGTGACATTGATTTATGAAAACTTTACATTTGACACACGCAAACACTTGCCTACATAAACACAGACGCTCTTGAATTTACTGCATTATCCTAGTCATTAGGCTTCCTTTGGACTTTGAAACTAGTGGGCCTGTCCTATATGCCAGTGAAGTCTCAGTGCTGCTGATGTCTCTAGAAAGGCGGGATGTATGAGGGCACCCAATCCATTTTCAGACTGAGTTTTGTTCATATGGCCGGATTGGCGGTAGTTTGGCCACAGGTGTTTTTTTAATTGGTTCGTGGGTTACTGCAAGTCATTGTGAGGCGGGCCTCCATTGACCGAGTTTAAGTGAAAATGAAGACTTGGACTTTTATTTTTGATATTTTGTGTTCTTATTTCTGGTGTTTTCATTTGATGACTTTTCACAGAGAGCTTTAAGGCACTGAAAACCTTTGGAGAGGGTCTCTGAACTGCGTGCTGCCATTTGGAAACCTTTCGTCCTATGATTGGCTTTAGTGGTTGTCAGTCAAACTGGAGTCATTCCAAAGCCTCTGATTGGCTAGCCATGAAGGAAAAGGTCATGGAAGGGAAGTCAACAGGCACATTATTGCCATTGATTTATGTTTTCCATATATTAAGAGATTCCACATATTTAAACATTTCTTGCCTTTTTTATTCAACTTTTCATGAGCTGGTGAAGCACAGAGCAATGAGAATGTTGGGAATATATTCTTAAAAAATTGACCATAAAAATTTTATTAACTTTTTAGAGAAGAAACTTGATTTTTCAACAAGTAATGCTACAGGACATTATGTTATAAAATTATCTCTCATTATTACTGTTCTTATTAATGCTTTGTTGTTCTTGTGGATCTGATCCTTATAACCTATATATACACTGTATTCCTATTAATATACTCTTTCTTTAGCAGAAACAGAGGGATGAGTTCACCCTCTTCCCTCACTCCTAGAGGCACTTCCACTACCTTTTTTTAAACACATTTTTCTCTTTATCTTGGTATTCACAATGTTTTATTTCTTACCAGGAAGTAATTACATAGGCCTTTGATGTAAGACACTCCAAACATCTTTCTAATGGTTGTATACTTTTATTATTATTGTTATTAATTCCATTTGCCACTTACATTCCTCCCCTTCATTCCTCCTCCCGTCACTTTATCGTTCTTTTTTCAATCACTTTAAGGCTGTAAGGTGGGACTGGGAGGCCATCAACGGTGATCTTCCCCTGCACGCTGGTCTTTGTTGTACATAAATACCGTAAGAGTCCAAAGACTCTACCATCAGAATAAAGAGCAAAAGCATCATTGGAAGGAACAAAGCCAGTAACAGGAAATGAAATTGTAAAACAAAAGGATAAATAAAGAAATAGGGTTATAAACTGTTAATGCGTTACCTTGTTTTGCTGCTTTACATATCAGAGAAATACTTTATACTGATAAGTTCTACATTTTAACTGTATCTCTCAGTATACAATTAAACAGAAGTTCAAATAAACAGCCTCTTCTCTGTTATATGCTACACAAAAAATGGACTGGGGAAGAAGTTTTGAGTTTTGGAAGGCTCATAGTTCATCAAGCTATTAGATGCTTCACTTTGATTTTTAAGACTAAAGGGATGATGAGTTGTGTCCATATGCAAGTATGCTACAGTGTGGGTATTTGGTGCTGTACAGATAATCAACCTACAAAGCCAATTACAGTATGGAGAGACCAATAGATTCCACGTAACATCAAAACTAGGTTCACTCAAAAAAAGTAAATATACCTACCCTCACATTGTTCAACCTGTATGACTTTCTTTCATCTGGGGAACACAGTTATTTTCAAATTGTGTCTGTTGTTGTTCATTCAATGAAAGTCAGCGTGTTCCAATGTTGTTTTGGACTTTCATTGTATGAACCAAAACAGTCGAAACATTCTTAAAAATATCATATACCTGTTCCACAGAATAAAGTCATACGGATTTGAAACAACATGAGAGGAAATGATGACTGAATGTTCTGTTTTTTAAACTATCCCTTTAAGGTGACATCATGATTTCTGGCTAGTTATGTTATATCTACACTTCCTCAAAGCAATTACAGGCGAGACAGAGACGAACAGTTTAAGTTTATTAGCAAGACTTCTCCAAATCAGCATCATAACATTAAAAAAAAAGCTACAAACATTCAGTGTACAGACAAAAATGTGACGTATGTAACGCATGGGGAACCGTTTGTCCATCAGTGATGGTGCATATCTGTCATGTTTTGTTTTCCCTTTTAACTGTTGTTTTGTTCTTCAGCTCAATGCCCATAGACTACCTACTCGCAAGAACTGCAGGTCAGAATGTAAACTAGGAATCATTTCAGCTAACATAAATCTGTGCCATCATGCCTTCGGTCAGAACAAGAGTGTCATCAGCAAGCCAGTCTTTCCATTCCTAGTCCCAAAACAGGAGCAATTTTATCACAGACTTCAATTGCATCCTCTAAAATCCGCCATATTTTTGTCTCAAAAAAGTCAAAACAAGGCTGAAAAATATTCAAATGGATCTATAAGAGTGGCTTTTTGAGGTACACTTATTCATACATTCAAGAACTTCAATGGAAATCAATACAATGTCTTGAATTTGCAACACCTTGTCTTAGACGGCCTAATTCAACTTGTCCTTTTTTGTCTCAATGCTTGTTCTGACCCATCTGACATCACTTAAGCTCATTTTAATCTCCAAGATGATGGTCTCTGTAATGTGGCACTGTTCTCTCACAACAACTGCAGGTTGTCCACAGTGATGGCCTCCATGTTGATGCCACCCTCCAGTGCAGTGTGGTACAGCTCGATGGCCTCTGCCAGGTCTCCGCTTGTCTCAATGATGGCTATAGTCTCTCCAAACTCATTACACATGATAGTGGGAGTGCCCTGAGTCTGAAACGGTGAGAAAATACAAAACATTACTCGGTGCACAAAAACTGTATCAAAATGGCACAAAGCAAAACAAGCATACAGACCTGTGTCAGGTTAGATGTCTGTATCTGAAAGACTTGCTGCTGTCCAAGCTGGCAGAAAGATGGTATTGCTGTTGCCATGTCCATCTCAGACGCCTCCACCACAGTAACGGTTTCTGAGTTGGATTCTGCGAGCACTGCTTCTCCGCTGTGCTCCGGCTCTTGTTGCTTTTGGGAGCGAGCGTGAGTCTTCCGATGGTTCCTAAGGTTCGAAACGGTTTTGAATGTCTTTCCACAATCACCACAGGCATGCGGCCGCTCGCCAGTGTGTGTACGCCGATGTTCTGCCAGATGCATGCTCTGCACAAAGCCCTTCTCGCAGAACTCGCATCGGAACGGACGCTCACCCGAATGGGTGCGGAGGTGCTCCCGCAGGTGCGTGTTCTGGCGGAAACGTTTTCCGCAGATGGCACAAGGATACGGGCGCTCGCCGGTGTGAACTCTCTGGTGTAGCGTAACGCTTGAGGCTGAGACGAACAGTTTTCCACACACCGGACAGGGATGAGACTTCCCAAGGGCGGAGCTGGAGCCTCGTGGCCGGCCGGGCCCAAGTCCGTGACTTAGCTGGTGCAGGCGAAGATTTGCAGGAGAGTTTAAGCGCTTGCCGCAAATAGTGCAATCCAGATTGGGTTTGGTCATCGAAGAAGCGCTTTGTTGCTCGGTGTCATCTGTTGAACCCTGCTGACCTCTAACCTGGGTGTCCTGGGAGATGGAGTGCGGCTGAGTCAGGTCGGGATGCTCTTCCAGACAGTGTATGTCTCGCTGCCGCTTGCGCAAGAACCCCTCGGGACAGTGCGGGCAGGGGTAAGGTGCCGGCGACCCTGGGTGGTGAAGAAAACGATGAGCTACAAGTTTAGCCGGACGGATAAAGGTGGCAGAGCAGTCTGGACAGGGTGAGGGTGTTGCATTGCTGTGAAGATGCTGACGGTGTTGACGTAGATTAGACGACTGGCTGAAGGCTTTGTGGCAAATGTCACACCGGTACGGACGAACTCCTGTGTGTGTGAGTCCGTGGCGGGAAAGATTAGCAAGAGAGGAAAAGGTCTTGCCGCATACGCTGCACTGGAACGGCCGCTCGCCCGTATGTGTGCGCAGGTGGTTTCGCAGATGGATTTGCTTTTTGAACGGTTTCCCACAGATGTTGCATTTAAAACGCCTCTCAGTCATATGAGTCGTTCGGCGATGGCGCAACAGACGGACCTGCGAGGAGAATCTTTTTTTACAGATAGAGCACGGAAACTTTGGATCTTCCTCAGAAGCAGGAGTCCTGCGTTTACCTTCCTCTTCTCCCCCTCCTCCTCCTTCCTCATAGGCAGTAGTTGAATGGTTTGGGTCATCTGTCAGCATTTTCCCTCCATTTTGGTCTTGCTCTGTGTTTGAGTGTTCGGCATAAAGCCCGTTCTCTGTCGGCTCCGATGACTGGATCACAGCGATACCTTCAATGAGCACAGGACCTGTGTCGCTTGACTCTATTCTGTCATCTTTCACAGGAGGAATTGTCACCAACTGTCTTTCTTTCCTGCAAGCAGTCTCTCGTTCTCTTGCTCTCTGGATGATAGAGAGAGGAGACTGCTGTGCCAGTACAAACTGCAGACGGGAGAGAGTTGAATTAATCTTACTTATGTTTTTTTGTTGTTAGTCGACTATAGGGAAGACTTGACGATTCTGATTAGACTATGACAATCCTTAGTCGGGGACACCCTAAATATCAGTTCTGGACAGAATTGAAATATCAGTGCATCCCAACTGCTTTTAAAGATCAGGTTCAATTTTGTGAGGACCAAAGACAATCTAAAGGATATATAGGGTAAATGTTGCCCGATATATATCCAATATTGACCAAAGACAAATTGAATCTCTAATATCGACTGATAAACAACACTCTGCTGATCGTGTGCATTGCTAATTTCCTAAAACTGACAATTACCTGAGAGACTGGAGTGGTCGGCTCACGAACTCGGTGAGTGCGGCGATGGTACAAGAACTTGGTCATGTTGGTGAAGGTTTTGGCACAAAATGGGCATTTGTGCAGTGGCTCAGATGTATGGGATTTCCTTAAGCGGGGAAGACAAATCAAAAATGGCATGTTTGATATGCAAATTACAAGCAAGTTATGATGTTTGGCTGTAGAGTTTGTGTGTTTTATTACCTGTGTATCATAAGAGTCATCTCTGTGGTAAAACCATGTCCACAGTCCACACACAGAAAACGTGCCTCACCAGAGTGTGTGCGCATGTGTGTCTGAAGGGACACCAACTTCTTAAACACTTTATCACACTCTGGGCACTCGTGTGTTCCTTGTTCATGCACACGAAGGTGTGCCACAAGCCGATTGGCAGAGGTGAACGTTCTATTGCACTCCTCACACTGAAGATTGCCGGACGAGACAGACGACGTCAAACCCAAAGCAGCTGAGCGGGCAGTGTACGTACGTCTCCCACCACTAACTTTGCCAACTTTGCTGCATTCTTCTGATCCGTCGCTTCTTCCTTCATCTTCCTTAGCCCCAGAACTGTCCTCATACCCCACCATCACCCCAGTGTCCCCACTCTCTTTGTCCTGGCCTAAGAAGTGCTCCCCCTGGTGTTGAAGGAAATCCTCAGGTGTGCTAAACAGCAGATTACACTCAGAACACTCATAAGGATGGATAATTAAAATTTCCTCATTTTCCTTCTTTAGTGTGTTCACCTGGCCAGTGGAAGGGAGAAGGTTTAAAGTGGTCACGTTGTCCAGCCGGATAGGATCGGTAGGTAAGAGAGGGGCGAGGAGTTTAGCTTTTCGGAGAGTAGCTGAGGCAGAACCGTCAGCGATGGCTTGGGCCGAGCAGAACTGTAGACGGAGCATCGCAGAGGTGGAGCCGGGCAGGGAAGCGTTTGCTGGCACTAGCATAGTTCTAGGAGTGCCTGCAGTTTTAGATGGGGTTTCTTGCTCTCGTAGAGCCTGAACAAATTAAAGCAACAAAGGTAGGCTAAGACATAGGGATCTACAACATCCTAAAACAATATGGCAATAGGCCATATGAAATGAATACCAATTAATAAGGTGGGAACAACCTGGGGTCACATATAGACCATTTCACAAGATGTAAACAACACTGGTCCAGAAGCACTTCCTGTTTCAGTTTGTAACTGTTTTCTTTATTTCACATGTAAAGAAAACATCTTAAAGATGTTTGTTTAACTTTTTGATTCAGTTTTAAATGTTCTGTTGGTTGTATTTTATCCCAGCTTTTATGTAGTAGTGTTAAAAAACTGAAACAGGAAGTGCTTCTGGACCAGTGTTGTTTACATCTTGTGAAATGGTCTATATAAGCTATATATTAGAGGCCAGTCATTTTTGACCGGGAACGTCAAAAGTGTTATAAGGTTTTGAAGACCACACGAGTTAAGAAGGTAATTTTATACCCATGAAATTGTAAGACACCATATTTTAACTATGGTTTTCAGCAGGAATTTGGACTAATGAACAGGGTGGACTACTCCGCGCGACAGAAATAGAAATCAAACATTGTTTTTATCACATCACACCTGGTTAGATCAGAGTACAACAAACCCAACTTTAAAGAATGTATTTGTTGTATTTAAATGTATATGCAACAGACCTGGGCAAGGGTCAGGATCTGGCCTGCCCTCTGTTCATCCAGAACTAGATTTTGCACATTAAGCAACTGAACCGGAGTGACTGTACCATCTTCCTGAAGAACATATTCCTGAAACAGAACACAAAAGGAAATTAGAGTGTTTAAAAGATAGTTCTTCAGTAAGAGTTTCTGATTAATCGCAGTATTCGTTTGAATGATCTTGATAATGATTCTTTAAATGACAAGACAAATCTTTTATTCTCAGAGTAAATACCCACATAACTTGTTTGTTGAGCACCTCAAAAGCCTGAGATTCATTTTGCTTATTTAGTCTGTCAATATTAGACATCTACACTACTTCTTTAGCATTGCTTTATTTTGCTGGTATCCACATTTCTGCAAAGTTTGTTCATTTAAAATTCCCATTTTCATAAACTACCTAGTCAAACGGTTCATTAGCTGAGAGAGAATTTCTGTCATATACAAATGAAAATTACAGCTGGAGCTTTCCCAAATGAACCAGAATCTAATCAAATCAAAAGCTGAGCTAATCAGATCTGCATGGATACCCCGCTCTGTTTATCAGTGTGTGTGTGTGCTCACTGTGTCGGTGTTCAGGCTGCTGTGGGTGGTGCTTCTGCTGTGTGTCTGTCTGTGTGCCAACCACAGTTCAGGTGTCTCAAAGAGAGCCAGGCATTCCAGACACTGGTACTGGATTGGCACTTCTGCATCGACAGAATCCACTTCTGTGACCTCACATAGCTCTGAAAATAAAGCATTAAGGTGCTGATTACATGCACTTCCAATTTAAGGAAACAATCTGACATGTACAGCACACATAATCACCCCCGCACTCACCCTGGCCTGCCTCTCTCATGTGCAGCTCTTGATGCAGCAGCAGTTCGTCAGGGTTCCTGAGGATGGCTCCACACTCCAGGCACTGATACTGGCTCTCTCCAGCATCACAGTCCTCCAAGCTCGGAAGGGTCTCCACCTCGTCCCCTTCTGCTCCGGTGTGGATCTGTTGGTGTACCAGCACCTCCTCCAGCGTATTAAAAAGCTGCTGGCACTCACTGCACATGTACTGATGGTCCACATACTCCTGCTCACTCATGGTAACTTCAGAACAGTTCTAAAGCTGTTTAGATGCGAAGACTTTTGCTCGGGTTATGATGAGTCACAGCCACTGGGTTCAGTATATATTCTCATGCCAGATATAAAAACAACCTGAAACAAAAAAAAAACAAAAAAGATTTGTGGTCTGGTATCCGCTCTGTGTTGTCGTCTCTGGACTGTAGCAGACTGTGTGTGCGCCGCGACAGTTTCGCATGACAATAACGTAAAACCAGACTTCATTTGTCTAAATGTAAAGCATATTTACACTGTTTGAACCATGTCGAAAATAGTAATGTGTGAACAAGTGATGGATTTTAGCCACAGCTTCAGCATCTATTTATAATGTAGGGGGTTGGATGCTTTAGATTCTAGAAAGCATTTGATTGGACAGAAAATCTTATGAAAAACTGAAGTGCAGAAGAGGGATGTCATCAAAATCATTTATCTACATTGGTGGAAGTGAGAGATGGGGGCTATGTCCGAAATCAAATCCTCTCTGTTTAGGTACTTATTTTAAATAAGTAATTACTTCACAACCACTAAAAAAGTATATTCTATATAGTATGAATGTGTGTAGTATAAATGTAATCTGGACATACTACATTCGCCATGTTGTTATCATCATGTGACCTACCAGCATCAGTTATGTCGCTTCCACGATAGTAAAGTGTACATCGGATGCACACTTCAGAATCTTGCCGGAAAAAGTAGGTCATCCAGATACTTTTTGCCTGGTTTTTAATGAATACTACTGTGAATTCAGACATACTTTTTTTGTCACATACTGTTTTAAGCCTACTATATAGTAGGTATGCGATTTCGGCTGCAGCCTACGTTTTGAATGCTTAATATCTTCTAAATGTGAATTGTGTCATTGTTTTGGAGAACACCAGCTTATAGATAACAGTTAGGCTAACATATTCATACCACGAAAGACAAAAAAACGTCAATTTTGATTTCATGGGGACTTTAATATTACTACAAGGTCTTGGGAAAAGAAGTAAGTATCTATCTTCTTTATAAGGTTTCACAGCTGCACACCCTACTTTTTATGAACACTGTCAGATATTTATAAAAATATGTATTTATTATTTCATTGAATTTAATATAATATGCACGTCAAGTGAAATTATTATACTTTCACTTCATATTTTACCAATCCGTTCATGACATATGGCAGTTGAGTAATATAAAGAGTCCACAATCTGCTCTCCATGATGATCAATACACGAGAAGACTATTACGGGTGCAGATATTGAAATCCAACAGATTGACAGTACGCATTATTATCAATCAACTTCTATTCTATGCAGTAATCATTTAGTGCACACAGACAACAGAATTTAGCATGTTTCGCGCGAGTTGTTTACCTTGTGGCGAGCAGTTGGTGGCGCTCTTCAGATTTTGCCAGAGCTTATGCAGCGCACCGCTGTCTCCTAAGCGAGCCACCCCGCTGTACGGCGGTCGTCAGGCGGCGCTCTTCACTTTTCCCCGCAGGTCTAAGATCGCTGAGGGGAGGCCTTCTTTCCTCAAGCGTTTCCGAACCTCTCCTCGCACGCTGCAGATGGGCAATCCCTCGTGCAGCGCTCCTCTATACGGTGTTCACAATGCGTTTCTCACCGCGAGAAACCAGTATTATTCAGCGCGACGCACTGCTTGTTGAGTATTTATTAACGTAAACAAGATCGTGGGTATGGAAATGTACCGTTTGTCTGGCCTCTGTTCTCGCTTGCTCTGTGCTGCCCCGCCCCATGGGGGTTCGCGTGTGGCTTGTGCGAGGCGCTGATTGGGTAGAAAAACTGTCTGTCAAACTCAAGCTGCTGTCATGGACATTCTAGTGATTGAAGAAGCACTTTTGGATGTTAGGGTATGTGAATGTGAGGATGCTATGTCATGGTGTAAATGACCCTAAACCACCAATAAATTCGTTAATAATGAAACATCTCAAAACACACCATGCCCTGCTATACGAAAACTCAGATAAAGAGGTAATTTACTGAAAGTGAAGTGAAAATAGTCATGCAAATAATATACATTGACATCAAAACATTGCCATTATCATTCCTTAAATCATTAGGGGAAAAGCATTATTTGACTTTCATGAAAACAGACAATTTAGAGTACTGTACTGTTTAGGGTTGTGTAATGCAGTCTTTTCATTCATAAATATATATATATATATATATATATATATATATATATATATATTACATTTTTTGTAATACAAAAGACATTTACTAATTTTGCATACAACTGTATTATTATATTTGGGGGTCATCGGCATGACTAATAATGAAAAGCTCCCCATTCTTGTGCTGCAGGATCTCTGCACGTGAGAGCGTTGTTGAACTTCACTACCCAGAAGACAATGCGCTCAGAGCGTCATTGTGCGTCAGCTCTAGTTTCCCAGCCAGCAACCACACAGGAGAAAGAGGAGGCGCACAACCTTACCGATAGAATAGTTAAGGGATCTTTATTTTTTAACGATTATTGTTGTGTAAATTGACATATACACTACGCGCCTGGGCCAGTCTACCGGCACTCTTTACCCCCGCTCTGGCACACACGAAACCCGATATGAGCGGCAGCGGGCGGCCCAGGACTAGCTCGTTTGCTGAGCCTCCGGGAGTCCCTGGAGCCGCTGCAGCCGCCGCCGGATCAGCCGTCGCCGGTGGAAGCTCTTCAGGAAAGACGGGGGGCGCGCAGGCCTCAGCCGGGAGTTCGTCTGGTTTCGGAAACCTAAAGCTGGGCAGTGAGTATCATTCAGTGACATCACACGACGATCACAATAAATGTGATGATGGTAGATTAATAAAAGCCGAAGTGCTAGTCAGTGTAGCATGATGTTCATTAATATGTCTGATTTTATTGTAATGATCGCGTTAACCTACTTTAGGCGGCTAACTGGCTAAGCTAACGTGAGCTTGTTTTTGTAGACGGATCAAGGGCTTTGATTGCGCTAACCATATTAGCTCGACAATCCTTCATCAGAACAAGGGCTAAACATATCTGTTATGATAGATATTAGTACATAATATTTTTGGCCCATTTCAGCCCCGTTTTAAAATATGAATCGTGGTCTGTTGGATGTTTAACGTTAGACTTCGTTGTGTTCTTCAAGATGTGCTCGCTTGGCAACAAAGCACAGTTAGCATACAATTTAACAGATTATATCTTCAGTTCTGCATTTAATTTAAATATATTTTATCCTGTGCAACCCTGGATGCATTTAATCGCATCATAACTATCCTTAACACTATTCTGACCGTGAAATTATGTAAGTTAAGCATAGTGAGGACTAAAGTGGTGTTTGCTTGTGCATACAATTATAAGGAAAAGATCAGAATCAATATTTACAACATATTATGAATGTAACGTTTAACGACTCCCTAATCACAATCTAACTGATATTTACAAAGCTTTGAATTTAAGTCCTCCTGTCCTCCTATGAAGGAAAATGACCATTTGTAAATTTGTGGTTGGGTTACTGTGAAAACTTGTGTGTTCCCTGGAGGCATAAACCTCTTCATTTGGTGTTCTATATAAGATTCCCAGTGACTGCAGTGCTGGCAGCAGCATTCATCTGCACTGGTGCTGACTGCTGGATTTCCATGGGAAGTGGTGATGGGTGTTATTACAAGGAATGAGGGGAGAACAAGTGGGTGGATGGATGTCCGACTGTGACCCACGGTCCTCTGAGAAACCTTGAACCAGTTGTTACAACACACAACAGCCTTTGCTGTTTTTGTCTACATGTTTTTTTTTCAGCCTGATAGCCATTTTTTAATTGGCCCGCTGACATTTGCTATCACAACCTGATACCTTTTAGCCACATTTTTATCAGGAAAAAAGCAGTTGAGTTTCCATTTACATGCGTATACCTTGACAATATGTGTAATATATATTATTACATTTTAATTTGCAAATAGTTGAGGTATATATACACAGTTCTGCTGAAATCAATGGCAAAAGGATCCTTCAGTACAGCTTTTTTCACTGAAAGACCCTAAGTAGCATAAACATGACCACGGACTGAACACAAAACAGTTTCGTTGAATGGTATAAATCTCTCTCTCACACACACACACACACACATCATAGGAGGTAATACTAGCAAGTATTTTAATGACAAGCTTTGGTTCTGACATTTCAGAATCATGACAGTACAGGTTCTTTGTGATGATTTTGTGAATTATGTCACATGCCTGGTTTAGCAATTTATTCTGTGAATGTTTCCCTCATAGTTAACGCACTCGTCTTTCTGAATAAAAATTGACCCATTAAGCACCTAAAATGTAAAAGTTTTTGCACGAATTTTATTTGTTTTGTTGTTTCCATATAGCTTTTTTGTGCAACATCCACAATTTTTTATTAAATCGTGTTTATGTGATGGCCATATTACCTGGCCACTAACTCACTGTATCCCGTATCCCACTTTAAACAGTGTTATTCTGATGAAAAAATAAACTCAATAGCCACCCGTCTCCATCAAGCATGACAACAGTTATCTGCTCTGCTTTGATCTAGCAAATAATAATTTTGCCTTATAATGAAACAAAGCATTTGTTTAGGTTAATCTGTCATTCCTTTTTCTAAATCTAAACAGACAAAACATCACCCTATGGCTTTGTTTTTCTCCAGGGTGTCCCCATTATCCAGGTCTACTCTTGTCCACAGGTGGAGATGTGGTCAGATTTTTAGCTTTCTCATCCTCCACCCGTGTTCAAACAGATTTAAGGGTGTTTCTGCTATTTCTAGTGATAAGCTCTGCTTGATGTTCTGTTGTGTTTGGACATGCTTTTTAACATGGGTGTTGGATTACTATTAACACCTGTCAGACAGAGTGGCAAAGAGGCATATCCTGCTGGATAAGAGAGCACTGATAAGTTTAAACAGATCTACCTGTTGTAGATCTAACACTGGTTAGCTGTTTGTTTGGCACAGCCTCCATATTTTCGTGTGTTTAATGGCCTCTCAGGCATGCCTGAGTAGTTTCAATGAATAGTTCACCTTTTCCCCCCTTTGTGTCAATCCAACCATGACTTTCTTACATGGAACACAAGATAAATCGATGAATGTGTTGATCACCATTTCCTATGAGGGGAATCCTTATAATTTTAATAAATAGGCACTGGTCACTTTAGCATTCAAAAAGCATGTAAAGCACAATAACCGAATCATAAATTACACTTGTCTTTTCAAATCACCTACTGATTAGAAGTATTAGTAATGTTTTTCTAAGTTGAAATTACATGGTAGCTTCATAATTAATACTGTCAGCCATTTTACTGTGTTTTTACCATGAGGAGCTTGCCACATATCCTGCTGCATATAATGACTACACAGGCATCACACAATTCTCATAGAACGCAACAGATTTTACATTTACATTTATTGTGCCAAGTAAAAATTCCCATTTTCTGGTATTCTTAGCCAAAATGCTGCATTATCATCCCAGAGAAATTAGATTATTTTCCAAGCAGAGTAATAAATAATTAGGGATGCACCGATCCACATTTTTTCACTTCCGATCCGATCCCGATACCTGACTTTGGATATCGACCGATACCGATACTTTTCCGATACCAGAGCTGTGTTTGCTTTAATAGTATTTATCATTATTGTTGATGATTTTATATGATGCTGAAATAAACTCCTCTCTACAGGCAAGGATGATATGTACGTATGTATGTATGTCAATATATATAATATATATATATATATATATATATATATATATATATATATATATATATATATATATATTAAACAATAGATAGACAATTAAACAAAGATACACATTATACAGGCCTACACAGTGCTTTAATTTCAGGAAGGTCTACTAACATTATTCAGGTATGGTCTAAAAAGAATTATAATAAAGTAATCAAAAGTAAAATAGCACTGCAAAGTTTATCATAGATAGATTTATGCTTATTAAAGCTGAAGTAATTCATTCAAGAGCTGTGAGTGATTTTCTCTTTGCCTTTGGTTGTTTGATTCTCAGTAATGTCGCAATCGTCACATTTATACTGCTGCCCCTTTAAGAACGAGTTCAGATTTCATAGTCTACTGATGCACTATATTTTCTCCCAAATATTTCCATAACTACGTTCATTTTAGACATAATAAATTGTTTAAGTGTTAATCTCCAAGTCGGTCGGTTTGACATTTTTGTGCAGGCTACATTTGATCGTTTAGACGCGCATATGAAGCCCAGAGTATAATTTGCTTGTCTTGTTGCGGTCTGTTTCGGAGCGCGCCGCACTGGGAACAGCATCTCTTGCGCAAATTTTTTGCTTTTAATAGCTCTTTTTATTATTAAAAGCGTCCCGCAATTTAGTAACAGCAGAGACTGCATTTTACTACAATCATCGATCGTGCTGATTCTGTCTTAAAGTTTGAGTTTTAGGGAGAAATGACAGCGCACCGCCGCGAATGCGGCTATTGTTTTTAATTTTTTTTTTTTTTACCTCAATATATTCTTTAATATTTGGAAATCAGACTAATATCACAGATCTAAAGTGTAACCAGGCTACGTTTCCTCTGTCGTCACTCATTACGCCGGGCTGTCATGTTGTGCTTGCTGTTGTTGCACCGCGTGAGAGATCTCTCTCTTTCTCTTCTGGACTGCGAATTGCAAACATGCATCAAATAGTTTAATTAATACGGCTTTGCAAACATTGCACTTTGCTGTCTTGCTCTGCACTGCAGCGGTGTTTCCAGTTCCACCACATGATTTCCACACAGCGAACATCCTGCTAGCTGGCTGCAAACTGCGGAATGGATTTCCTGAGCGGGGGTGTGTCTCATTGACCCCTATGTTTTACAGTCACTGATTGAGCTGCACCTCCGTTCAGGGTATCCATTCCACAGTTTGCAGCCAGCTATAGCAGACTAGCAGGCCCGACGGGAATCACTTTTGGAGTCATTTCAGCAGACAACGTTAAAGCGCAGACATGGATCATAAATATCGGATTTCTCCGCAGGTTGGATCGGAAAAATCCGATACGTGAATTATGCTGGTATCGGTCCCGATACCGATACTGGATCGGATCGGCCCCATCCCTATAAATAATGCAAAAATATTTAAATGAATGCTACATTGTTCACATAGGCCTGGTTTCATGGACATGGCTTTGATTAAGCCAGGATTATACCATAGGTGGCCAACCCCTGATAAATCATCATTCATTCAGGTTGTACTAACACAGGCTTGCATGGTGTCAATCTTCATTGTGATTCTATTGAAATCTATTGACAGTCAGATGTTTCAGTCAGTGATCATTTGTTTTTTTAAACTCATTTTATCTTTAGGGGATAGTGGGAAAGTGACAACGGTAGTAGCCACACCAGGGCAGGGTCCCGACCGTCCTCAGGAGGTTTCGTACACAGACATCAAGGTGATCGGGAATGGTTCGTTTGGAGTCGTGTACCAGGCTCGACTCATCGACAGCCAGGAGATGGTGGCCATAAAGAAGGTGCTTCAGGATAAACGGTTTAAGGTTAGTATGAGAAAACCTGCATATGTGCAAACTAATGTCAGTATCATAATAAAAATACCCGGCAATGTATCAAATCTGCATGCACACACAAGACAAAATGCTTTCCATGTCCAAAATGAAAGGTTAATGCTACATCCCTTTTAAATCAGGCTGCTACAAGCACGTTGTAATTATTTTGACATGTTTTGATTTGAACTTTAATATTCACATTTAATACCTCATGTTGCTTTTGCTTAGGTTTCAAAGCTAAAAGAACAAAAAGGCTTAAAGGGATGGTTCAGGATTTTGGACATCGGGCCTCCTTTTCAAGTTAGCCTTGGTGTTATTTATCGACTCACTCTAGCCTAGCACCGGTGAACTATGCAACTGTAACGACTGGATGAATATTTAAAAACTGATAAATAACACTAAGGCTAACTCGGAAATGAGGCCTGATGTCCAAAATCCTGAACCACCCATTTAAGCTCGCATCGAAAAGCCCCCTTTTCACGTTCAACAGCTTGTTCATAAAATACAAAGTAGCGAGCAATGCCTTGTGACTTCAAAGTAAGTTGTTTTGTCCAGACTCTGCTGCCTTGAGGAAGTGTTGCTCTTTACATTTAGTAGAAACTCTTTCAAATAGACCACAAAATTATGGGAAACAAAATGTTTTCTTTCCATCAACTTTGTACCTGGGCGTAAAAGTGGACTTTTTTTTTAATCCTCTTTGGTTCTAATAGGGTACGAGTCCACAATGTTTTTCCACTTAAATATTTAGTCATTATTAAATTGTAATATTATAATTATTCAATATTAGAGTTGTATTAGAATATACAATTAGAAATGTAGTGGAATATCTTGCAGACATAATGTAGTTGACAGCAGTTTTTTTTATCTCATTCTGTGCGCAAAACTTTATTTTCTGCCTCCTTTACATTTTGGCTAGTAATTTATAAGGTATTCAAATGTGAGCCAGGAGTACTTGCCGTCTTTCCGTTCACAACGCTTGTAAAGATTTAAATGGTAATCTCTGATCTCAGACCTGAGACGCATGTTAATATCAAATGTAAATGAAAGCACTCGGAGTGTGAAAACACTGAATCATGAGTGTGAGTGGTATCTTACAGCCAGCATAGAGCACAGCCTTCCACTTTACAGTGCGTTTTAATTTGATTGATTGTGCAGCACTAGTTTTAAATGGGCTGCAAGTTCAGAGCAACACATTTTCACAGATGAATGCATTAAATAAGATAGATGTTTGATTTTCATTGCGTGCTTTTACCATTCTTCACGTGTCATTTCTTCCTCTACAGAACCGTGAGCTACAGATAATGAGGAAGTTGGACCACTGTAATATTGTCAGGCTACGCTACTTCTTCTACTCCAGTGGAGAAAAGGTAGGTTTTTCAATCCAAACCTTCTTTGTTTTTCAAGTGTTTATATCCCATCAATATAATTTTGTCATATTGAATAATATGAATATTGTTTTTCTTTACCAAACTAATCTGCATTTTCTTCTCCCTCTCTTTCTCCTCAGAAAGATGAAGTGTATCTAAATCTGGTGCTGGATTTTGTTCCAGAAACTGTGTACAGGGTGGCACGCCATTTCAACAAGTCCAAGACCACCATCCCCATTATCTATGTCAAAGTAAGTCTCTGTGTTATCGTGACTGCTGCTACTGTGCCCATTCATATGCACATGGACTGTAAACAATAACATCTTTCTCTTCCTCTCTCTTTCCTCCCCCACTATTTTCCCCTTTCTATCTCAGGTGTATATGTATCAGTTATTTCGCAGTCTGGCGTATATTCATTCCCAAGGCGTCTGCCATAGAGACATCAAGCCACAGAATCTCCTGGTGGACCCAGACACAGCTGTACTCAAACTGTGTGACTTTGGCAGGTGTGTGTCCTGACACTTCTCTGTGTGACATGTATTTGCAGTGCAGCCATGTATAAGATGTATACTGGTTTTTAAGCCCCGATATTCTCCAGACGAAGTTCTTTTTTTGCACTTTGCTCAGGGGCAGAAATGTTTGAAATACCTGAGCTGGGGTTACCTATACTGTTGTTGATCATCCCAATGCTGCTGGGAACAGCGTTTGGCACTCGAGTCAAATGATGTCACGTTAATAGCACCTTTATACAATAATTTGCCTTAAAACAAGCAGCTTTGTGGTATTAAAAATAAAAAAGTGTTAATCTTCTTATTTTTAATTAGAATTCCAGCTCTTCGGGTTTACTCGCATCTGACCTTAATGGACCGAATAGAAGTAATGAACCTGAGAAGAATTCTGGAGCCCTAAAGCAGACCTAATAATGGAATCGCCACAGGCCAATGATAGTTCGAAGGTGTTTACCAGCCAGAAAGTTTGCTTTAGCGAGCTCTTTTTTTTTAAACTCCATTTTGAACAAAATCAGACCAAACAAAAGTCACAAGTTTGTTGTTTGATTATGCTTTAAATGATCATGATATCATTCATTTATTTTAAACCATTCAAGACCCATCAAGGCTCTAATACATTTTTATGTAACGCAGCCAAAGAATGCCAGATCCTCTGTTAATTGCTGTTCAGTGCTCATTTGTGATGACGTAAGATGAACGCAAATTTCATCAGTTTGATAGAAGTATTTTTTAGTAATGGCCCACTACATCAGTTTTACACGCGTGTCTCTTTGATAACATGTTTATAATCCATCATCGTGTTGTCTCCACAGTGCAAAACAGTTAGTTCGTGGGGAGCCCAATGTGTCATACATCTGTTCGCGGTATTACCGCGCTCCTGAGCTAATATTCGGAGCCACGGATTACACATCCAACATTGATATCTGGTCAGCCGGCTGTGTATTAGCAGAGCTGCTTTTGGGACAGCCCATATTCCCCGGTGACAGTGGAGTGGACCAGCTAGTGGAGATCATCAAGGTGAGAGAAATATCGCCATTGTTTTATTTTTATGAGTAAGCAATAGACACACATTACATTTTTTTCTCTCTGTCCACCCTCTGCAGGTTTTGGGGACCCCCACAAGAGAACAGATCCGAGAGATGAACCCCAACTACACAGAGTTTAAATTCCCACAGATCAAAGCACACCCTTGGACAAAGGTAAAGCACTTGTTGCTACTCTAGCCATGATGGTTCCCAGTTAGCTCACAGAAAGAAACATTTAGGTTTTTACTGAAGGTTAAATTAGTGATGCACCCAAATTTTTTTACAGAAACCCTATTTTATATGAAAACAGAAGCAAAAAATAGTTTATTTAAAGGTACTCTGTGTAGGAGTTCAGTTTTTTGTCAAACAGCGACCTTTGTCGCTGTGGAGTCCTTGTACTATCGTAAATAGAGAGCCTAAGTCCCGCCCCTCCGCTTCCGGCTCATGGGACCTTATTTTGGAAAAAATATGAATGGTAGTCAATGGCGAGAGACAACTTATCTTTTTATTCCTTCTGAACTGTGACCTCAATTACACATATGATGTTTGTCAATTTAAAAGTTAATTCTGAAAGTCAAAAACGTTGCAGTTTGTCATACAACAGAAGAGTAACATTTAGTTTTATGTGAAAATCGCTCTATGAACTACATCTCCCGGGAAGAGAAACGAGATCCGCTGCTCGTGTGTGTGCAGTCTGGCACAAAACACTCAGGCAGGACGGCGTAACGTTACGATTATAACGTAAGACTGTAGAAACAATGACAGACAGCCTCAGTAAAGTTAGCTTCATTCATTGAGAGAAAATGTGCGCCTTTGGGGTTTGTAGTCTTTGTAATTATGTATTTTCACAGTCTTATACCTCAACGGTTTTACATCAAACCGCAACTTTCTTTACTTCAAAATGTATCTTTTAAATTGACAAACATCATATGTGTAATTCAGGGCACAATTCAAACGAGATCAAAATATTTGTTGTCTCTCGCCATTGACTACCATTCAATATTTTTCCAAAATAAGGTCCCATGGTGGTCGACCGGAAGGGGGGGACTTAGGCTCTCTATAACAAGTGGAAATAAGGTGTGGCCCCTTTAAGAGCTGTGCTCGCCAGGTTATTTCTTTTAGATGCTCATTCTTGTCCTATTTTAAGTGAAAGCCTGACCGAGTGAAACTCTTGTTCGGTTTTCTCACACGGTCAGTTTCTCATTTTCTTTTCCTTGACTCTTCCAAGCCTGTGGTCACGGCATTCATAAAGTGGTACGTTCTCCAGGTCACATGACGAACTTACATAGGCGGTATTTCAAGAGGGCATCCCCGCTCGGAGCATTGATAGTGTCAAGTGCTGTATATTGGCCTGAGGAATCATTTAAAATAACTCGTATGCATCAACTGTAACTTCTGGCCAGAAGTTACACGGTCTGCCTTTAATGATGAATTAATTGAATTTCAGTACTTTAAATGAATACAGACTTCTATGTAAACCATTTAAATGCACAAGGATGTTTTCATATCAACTTCTTAATTATATAAGTTTTTACTCTGATGAAATATTAAAAAATTAAATGGCTGTAAGTTTTCATGACAGATTTACTAAAAAAATATCTTAAATAACAACAGTTGTAATGTTTCTCTCAACATAATGTTTATTTGTGGTTTAGCTAGTAGTAGTGGAAGTGGAAGAGATAACTTTATAGGCCGACAGCTTTAACTGAGGTGGCTGCAGCAATCTTTTAAGCCACATTTAAAAAAAAGCATCAAACTATATTGTTTGAATTTCATTTTAAAATTGATAGAATTTCAAAGCTCAGACTTAATAATGATGTTTCATAGTATGTCAAAGGTTAAAAAAAAAGCTTAGGGTGATTGTTGGATTACAGGTGCACTTTAAATTATGTTTAGTGAAGTTTTGTTCACGCTTTAGCTGAAAATGGCATAGACTAAATGATCTTTGTTCATCAAAATCAGAAATGATATTGTCAACCCAGCCCTAGCATCCACACACCTGACATGTTTACATATTGTAGCTTATGTGCACGAAATGGACACTGACTAATTTGCCGTCAGTGTTCCGGACAATAGTTTTTTGGCCCTCCTAAACTGTATAGAAAAGATATTTTCTGTTGCTGAAATTTTGGTCCATCACTAGGTTAATCGACATCCTAAGCTATAAACTGGTTAGATGTGACATTTCCCTGTGAATCTGTGCGTTTGCGTTAGGTGTTTAAGCCGAGGACCCCTCCTGAAGCCATCTCATTGTGTTCTCGTCTGTTGGAGTACACGCCGGTGACGCGGCTCTCGCCGCTGGAGGCCTGTGCACATGCCTTCTTTGATGAGCTGCGCCAGCCGAACGCACGTCTGCCTAATGGCCGAGAACTTCCCCAACTCTTCAACTTCAGCCCTGTGGGTGAGTTGAACTGAGACAACTGCCACTTCTGTTCAGATTCAGCCTTGTCGGATGAATCGGATGCTCATGCTCTCTCTTACTTTATCTCTATCTCACACATTTTAGAAAGATCTTGTGGTTTAGTACATAAATGCGTTGCTTGTATCTATTGAGCTGATTTTGTCAAATGCCTGTGTTTTCACCTGTCTGCAATAGTATTTTACCTACAATCTAATGTGTGAGTGAGTGATCTGAAATGTTTTTTTGTAGACGACAATACAGAAAGCACTCAATACCATTCTAATTTATTATGAATAGAATTCTAATAAGCTACAATGAATAAAATGTCACATGCAACAAAAAATGAAAACTATTTTGTTCCAAATGAATACTGCCACTATTGATGTTCCTACTTGTAAATGCTTTTAACATTAGAATACCATTACTGTGAACATGTCTTTAACTTAACTACACATTGTCAAACGAACAACCAGGCAGTAATTAGTCTGATTTAAGTCTAATGAGCCGAAAAGTAACCGCAGCAAAAAAATCAGTGATTATCTGTTTCTTAAAAAAATAACTATCCTTGTATAAGTAAGTGAGCTAGACTAAAACTTAAGAGACGGTAATAAGAACCGGTTCATAAGTCATTCATTTGTGATTTGAGCATCACAGCTTATACACTCATAAAGCATTCTTGGTCGATATTAAGCAGCAACTGCCGTCAACATTGATAATAAGAAATGTTTCTTGAGCACCAAATCACATTAGATTGATTTCTGAAGGATCATGTGACACTGAAGACTTTACTGGAAGCCATCGCTGGAAGAAATTACATTTTAAAATGTATACAAAAAAAAATTAAAGCAGCTTTTTTTAAAAATAATATTTTACCATGACGTTTTTACTGTATCAAATAAATTCAGTTTTGAGACTTGACGATCATACATTAACTTAAAACAGTAACCCCTGGTTTCAGACAAGACTTAAGCCGAGTCCCAGACTAAAATGCATATCTTAAAATGTCAGTGCCATTGTTGTCTCAAAATGCACACCAGTAATGTTTCTCTTTCTAAAGGCATGTTTATAAAAGCTACTTAAATGCCCTATTTGAACTAATGACTAATACTGGCTTAATCTAAGCCGTTTGTGAAACCGGTTCTATACCTTCTTACTGACCCCTAACTTTTGAATAGCAGACAGTGTATACAATTTATAGAAAAAAAAAAGTTTAACTTAAACATAAAATTCCTTCACTTCAGGTATAATTCACTACAATAATGGCTTTTGAGATCAGTTAACAAATCAGTGCCCCTTTTTGTTTGTTAAAAGGCGGCAAACTATAAAGTGGCCACTCACTGAGCTGAAGTGCACACTCTGTGTATTTATACAACAAGTGCCTATAGGAACAATGTGCTGAACACCCCTACTCCAAAAGAAAGCTTGATATGATGATTTGATGCATCTCTCTATGGATCATCTCCCACTGCATTAGATCCTCAAAATGAATCCACAAAAGTGGACTAAAGCTAAAATGACAGTGCCGTCTATATTGAGTGATGGTGTCATTTTAGGTCTCAGTGGTTCCCTAGACTATTTTTTTGGTCCTGAGCTCTACCAATAGTGAGTGGAAATGTACATTTTGTCATTCAAACTATTTTCATTGAGCCTCAAATTTTGGCCAGAGTAACATAATTTTGCTTCCTGCAATTTGAGGCAGCTTTCACGTCCTGTGACGCAAGTGCAAAGCTATCTTGGTTTTGACACTTACAGATATTGATGGCTAACCTCTTTCTCTCCCCGCAGAGCTGTCTATCCAACCACAGTTGAACTCCATTCTCATTCCTCCCCACGCTCGCTCGCAGACGACACCTGCCTCGCACGGTACTGATCACACATGCATACCTTTGATTTACTCTTCCTGTCAGTCTGTATGGATTTGAACATGCACACGTCCTAAAGTATTTGAACTCTGTCTTTCCGCAGAGGGCAGTTCAGACGGCCCAGCCCAGTCTGGTCCAGCACCGGGACCACTGAGCAACAACACCTAATTGTTCCCTCAGCATTACTTAGACATCATCACCCCTCTCTCCTCATCCCTTCTCTCTCATTCCTCTCTCTTTCCCAGCAGCAGCTCCAAACAGTCTCTCTTGCACGCGCTCACAAACACACAATCACTCACTCGTCACCTTGTGTTATGTGTAGTCATGTTCTCCCATGATGGTAGAAGTGTGTGATGCCCAGATGAATAGCGTCGACCATCAGAGGAGGTCGATTTAAATTTAGTATGATTATCAACCCGCGATCGAGTTGATTGTCATCTTTAGGTGTTTTAACACTGGGCAGGGCCAGTCAGGGCAAGTCTGCCCCCTAGTGGCAGGAAGAGCGCCGCACAGTTATTGCACTCTGCCTGAGATGCCATCCATTTGACATTTTAATGAATGATATATGATATCAAGCTCCTTTAAATTGGTTTTGCTCTTAAAATGATTCATTTTAGCTTTCTTTTGGAGTCCTTGGACAAAAGCAAGGACTGCAATGCGTTTTATAAAGCAGCGAGCATGAGATGTCAGTGTTGTGCGACGTGCGTGTCCAGATGTGTGATGTTTCTTCGCCGAGACGAAAATGAGTGTCTTAATATGTGCGTATGTCAATTTTAAGTAATCATTGCACACTTGTGTTTTAATTTTTTAAGGAGATTATTTAGCTATTCAGAACAGCTGAGACAGGGTTATCTGTTTTTGTTTTGTTTTTTTGTCTGTTTCAGTGTAAACTTGCTCATTTTATTCGTTTTTGTGCATGTGCATGCACACACACGTATAACGCATAGGTCAATCCCATCAATAGCTGTGTCTGTTTGAATACAGAATTTGCATTATGGAGTCTACACCTGTGTGTGTTTCTATACATTGGCGTGCCCATTACATGTGGATTTAGTGGATATTCATCCAAATTACACACAATACATGAGCCCACACGCACGCCATGGACACTTGGCAAATGAGACTTTGAAACAGAGCTGTTTGTCTCTCCCTTCTTCCTTCCATTCTCTCTCTCCTCCTCTCTCATTGCTAATATGTAAATGCCATGTACCTTTTATTTTGTTATTTTTGTTATTGTTATTCTATTGTCCTTGTAATTAGATTTTTCTCCTAGTGGAGCAGTGCTGGTATGAACAGAAACCAGCCTTTTTCGGTCTCTCTCTCTCTCCCTCCCTCCTTCCTTCCTTCTATCCCTTCATCATACAACTGTATATAACATTTCATCCAGCCTCTCTCTGCGTCCAGGGAGGAAGACGAAACTGAACAAAATTTTGTTATTACCTGATATCTCTTTCTCTTACTCTCTCTCCTTTCCCGCCCCTCTGCCTGCCTGCCCTTCCCCCCTCCTCATCAGTGTTAATTCTGATCCTTTTATTTATTGTATTGCTGTCTTGATTCTGTTTTTAACAATCTGATGGGGGAGGGGTTTTGTGTGTGATGTCAATTGATGTAACGTTCATATCTCAAACTCTGGAATATTGTTTGATGGAATGTTCTGGAAAGGGCAGGGACACACTACCACCACACACCGGCTGCTCAGCCCATCAGTGAAAAGATGAACGGTTAAAGGGAGAGAGAGGGAGAGATAAACAATGTTTTTGTTTGTTGGTATAAATAATAAACTCATTAATAAAGTTATAAAATGTCTCTGTGGGTTAAATAGTTTGTTTATTCATGGATCATCCAATTGTTTTAATCGCTTGAATATTTTTAATACTGTAAAAAGAAAAATAATTGAATGTGAAGATGCTTCTAAACGCTAAAAAATATCAGAATTGTTACCTTCATTAAACTCTAATCACCATTCCTACTATACTACCATTCAAATGTGAAAGTTTGAGAGAAATATTTTTTCAGCAAGGATACATTTGATCTAAAGTGACTGTAAAGATAATGTTTTATAATGTGATGATATTTCTATTTCAAACAAAAGTTCATTTGAACTTTATATTCATCAAATATGATTTACAGAAAATTACTGTGTCAACATTAATAATAATGTTACATGAGCAAATCAGTACTGGAATGATTTCTAAAGGATCATGCTGCTTTGCCATCAAGGAATAAGTTACATTTCAAAATGTTTATTTAGAGAACAAATATTTTCACAATATTACTGTATTTGTTTTATTTAAATATATATTTTTGTTAGAAAATGTATCTTAAATTATGTTTGAAATTGGCATTAAATTGTATTGCTAAAGTGTAGAGTTAAAAGATACAAAATACTACCATCATGACATGAATAAAAATAATCGTGTCTAGGTGTTAGTTAAATGGTGAGAGTAATTAAACTGCAACTGTTGTCTAGAGCTCAGAAGTGTTGAAGACACCCAGTGTGTTTGATGCCCTGATGATCACCAGTGTGGGTCTTCATGGATTTCAAATCTGACTGAACATTCTTCCAAATTCAATAGCTTTATTTTCAAATTGGCTCATAGCATTTGAAATGCCTTATTGCATTTGTATGATTGGACATTTGCATTGCCTGGCATTCAAATAATAATGGCACCAGATGTCCACATCGGAGTAGATTTTCAATTAGGAACTGAAACTATGTGTTTAGACTGATCACTGTGCAGGGAATACAAAAGCCAATCAGGAAGTCTTGGTTTGTCCTCTATTCACACAATGATTGGGTATTAAGGTTTAAGATTAGAGGGTAGAGATATGAGATTAAATCACACACAAAAAACAAACAAAGGTTAATGTTGTTTGTGTTGATATGACCTTATAATCTTCATCATTTTTAATTATAGTCTTAAGCCTAGTCTTAAGTTAATGACTGCATTCATTTGAATGAATATTACATTTTCTTTCAAAATTGTGAAACTCCACTGACTTTTTTCTATTGCATTTGCATATATTAATTAATTCCACATTCAAAATTATTACATTTAATGTCCTAAATATTACCTCCAATAAAAACGCTTTAAAATCGGTATCTGCCAAACAATTGAGTTATAATACATATGTGTTTTCACAAGGTGAAGCTATTTATGAGATGTGCTTTACTACAAAATAGTAATATCTATGAAGACCCAATCCCTGAGAAGTATATTGTTGATCTAAATCTCACCATTAGCCAACTATTTAGCAAATCTGAAACAAAATGAATTCCCTTATCAAAGAGAAACTATTGTTTTTAATTGTATCCTGTTTGTGTTCTTCTAACATTCAGTAAGCAGTCAGCACGAGTGTAAAGGGAAATTAAGCTTAAAAGGCTAATTTCCAAGCTTCTGGTGATTGCTTATAATAATTCGACAGTTTAAGAGTTAGACAATAGCAGACATTTTGATCAGACACACATTTTTTCAAATAATAAATTGGTGATATAAAACCATATAAAATTCTCCTGGGCAAACAATGTTTTAGCCAATTGATTAAAAAATAATATTAATGGGAGGGATATTAATTAATATTTAAGTTTATTTTCCCAAATAAACTTAAATAACGCTTTATTAAATATTAAGCACATAAATACATACAAAGAGAGTCTGTGAAAGTCTAAGGATCACCACATCTTAGCCAGGTTCCAGCCAGCTAGTAAAAAGTTTCAGATGTAAATTTGCAAATGTATATACCAAGATATCTAACCACAACTGAAATGTCAAAATTATGAACAGTCAAAATCTCTACTGATTGACAGAAAGGCCCGTAACGCCTTTAAGATAATGGAACCCATTATGAAGTCCCTTTAAAGTAGACACAGATACATTATAAAGGGTCTGTACAGTCCTTGAAAGGGACTTTGGTACCGGTTTCACCCATTCTTCACCAAAGCCGAAACGCAGAAAATTGTACTTATTACTGATGTTATATTGAACCATAGACAGTATTGAACCAGCAGAGTCCCAGGTGACGCATTTTTGCAAGTACGCTGTACTTTTGAGGAATTCTATTGGTGGAGTTGAAAACTGCTGTGGACCAATGACATCGCGCTTTGTTGAGACGTTCAAAATAACATTTCTGACAGATACGAAAGGACTGGGCCATAAATCGGTGAGTTGTTTATTTTATATAACTGGAACAATGTTTTTACGAGTAATCCAAGGTTACCTACAATTTATTTAATTGAATAACACCTGACGTCTCGGAGACTCGACTGGGGGAGACATTCGCCCTTTGATAACGGGCGGGTTCCGCCAAACTACCACCGAAGAAGCGCGTGCCGCCCTTCTTCGGCGCTTCTCGCTCGCTCGCGCTATGCTTTCAATGTTTGAGCGCGACCGAGCACCCACAGCGGCTGCACTTTGAACACATAACGGTCAATAAACCAAAGACTGTAGTTCTGTAAATATATATTTATAACATATGAACTGTTTAGTTAAAGCTAGCAGGCTAAAAGCTAGCAGGCCAACAGAGCCCGCTGGTTGAGGCTGTGTTAGCTAACCGGTGTTAGTTAGCTTGTGTCGAGTGCTATGATCGTACTGCTGTCTATCCAGATCCTCCATGAGTAACACAAGTTTGGTGGAAGAGAGAAACCCATGTAGTTAATCAACCGTTTTAGGTGTTTGCTATAGACATAGGTAACGTTAATAGTGTATTAATGGGAGTGCCTACTGAAATCAAAAGCAGAATTTGATTCAGAGTTTATTACAGAAGCTCAAGAGATTCATTAATATCGATTGTTTTATGTGACATACTATTATTTTTAATGTGTCGTATGACTGATTTGCGAATTCGTTATTAATGATCTAAATCTGCTTTTTGACAGTACTCTAGAAGACAATGATGACTTGTTTTTTTTTTATACAGTTTTTTCTAATATTCAAGTAAAATCATATGTATTATACATAATAACAATCAGTTGTTTTTGTCATATATATATATATATATATATATATATACATAATTACAGCTTAATTTTAAATAATATAAAATTAATAATATATTTAATTTGGTGATTGTTGGGTATATCATCCATTGCTGGGTGATAGATATTCTGTTAGAGACCTAGGCCTACCTAACTTATGTTACCTCATGACATTTTTTAAAATATTGTTGACTCCTATTGAAGAACCAATATATTTCGACAAGTATCGGTCAAATTGAAAATCAGGAAATTTTTAACCATTACTGAATAAATTGGCCAGGTTAACCTTACTGACATATACTATACAGGCGATTGCCTTCTAGTGAAAGGAGGGATCATTTGATATCCAGAATTTGCAGAGAGGTGGACAAAGTACACAACTTCCTTAGACACTACTCGCCAAATATTACTCTGTTAAAAGTAAAAGTTGTAAAGACTGATTTTTACTTAAGTAAAAGTACAGAAGTACTCGTTTTTTAAAAGTACTTAAGCATCAAAAGTAAATGTCAGTGCATTGTTTTATTATTGTGTTATGTAAAACTTACAGTACCGTATGCCTCTGAATCTATGCCTGCCTACCTACCCTCATATCAATATCACATTTATTTTTAGAACACAGTTCCAGTTGTGGGATTGAATGTGGGATTGTATAAGTGCACTCAATAACGGTTTTTGGACACCCAAATGGCTGTTCCCTCAAATAGTGCTCTTTTTAAAGTTTTTTGGCTTTTAGTTATGAATATGTTAGCCTTACTGTTATCTATAGGCTAGTGTCCTCCAAAACAATGACAAAATTCACATTTAGAAGACCAAATCCAACGTTGAAAATGACAGGTGGATGTCAGATTGACATTAACAATCTGACGCTAACGTCAGATTGACGTTAACTCCAATTTCAGACAGACGTCGTATTATGGTTATTATGGTAGAAAATAGAAATCGGGTTGACATCAGAAACCAACACCAGTCGGGTTCTGATGTCAACCCGACTGTCATTTCCAACCAAAATCACAGAAATGTAGTTCAGTAAAAAGTACGACATTTGTCCTTCACATGTAGTGAAGTTAAAGTAGAAGTTTCCAGAAAAAATAATACTCATGTAAAGTACAGATACTCAAAAAGTGTAGTACGTACAGTACGTAAATGTACTTAGTTACTGTCCACCTTGTTTACATACATTTAGGTGCAGCTTTGCATGTTTATGATTGTCAGGATGAATTTGACTCTCGTTTAAGCTTGCTCTGTGATATTCCAGCTGTAATTATTTAGTCTTCAGTTCTGTGCTGTCTTGATAAATTATGCTGATTGAAACTAATGAGCATGGCTTTGTTTTTACCACAGTTTGCACGTCATGTACAGTAGCGCTCAGCCCCCACATTATGTCACGGATAATATGCTGTAAGGACATTTCACTTGCCATCTGCAATGGAATGTGTATTATTTTACATTCATCCTCCTTTCTTTCTTAAAACAACCCAGTCCATCCTCTTCCTGTCAACTTAAAGGTTCTCTAAACGATCCTGGGTGACGTTCGAACTATTGTCAAACAAAACGGAGGCTAGCTAGACCCCCCCCTCCTCCGCATCTGGTCTCCTCCCCCTCCCTTCTGTGCTTCCTAAAACAGTTGTGAACGTGACTCTTGATGCTTCTCTCTCCTTCACACACCCCCTTCATGTGCACGCTCACTAACCCCCCAAACCCACCCTCAAATAATTCTTGCCAGTGATTGGCTGGAACACTGTTTGTTAAGGTTTCGTGGTGCAGGTAAGCCAAGATCGTTTTTGTTGCCATTTGTGGTGTCTACAGCTAGCGGATAGTTAGGAGATATTTGCTGTATGTGACAAAAAAATATTTTGGCCTGACATCACTTAGAGCACCTGTAATGGAGGTGTGACATGCAGCCGAATCGGCCAAAAAAACATCCACTCGTCAAACTAAAGCTTTAGTTTCTTTTTTTGTTTAGTACACAGCAAGCATTGCTGTTGTAATGCCAAAGGCTGCATTTATTTGTTGTCTAAAAAAGTATGCATTAAACTTCCTAAAAATGATCTTTCTCTTTTTTGTTAAATGAATGTTAAAGGAATAGTTCACCTAAAAATCAAAATTCTGCCATCATTTACTCACCCTTAAGTTGCTCCAAACCTGTATGAATTTCTGTTTCTGCTGAACACAAAAGAGTACATTTTGAAGAATGTCGGTAACCAAACAGTTGATGGACCCCATTGACTTCCATTGAATGGAAATAAAAAATACCACAGAAGTCTGTGGTTACAAACATTCTTCAAAATGTCTTCTTTTTCAGAAATTAAATTTTTGGGTGAACTATCCCTTTAAGTGCTAAATATTTATTTGAAAAATTTTGTTGGATTGCTTCATTTTATTTTTAATTGTACATTTTCTGGGCGCTGTTATTGGAATCAGACCTTAAAATTTTACCCTCTTAGCGAATGATTTCATTTCTTGGCTTTATGTGTGTATTATTGTTTATATCAACATATTCTTGTTTGTTTCGAGCAGCCATGGAGTCGTCTTCAGTGTACATGTGCTTTCCCTGTTACCGGGAGTTTCCCACACTAGAGGAAGTGCTTGCACATCAGATGACCTGCACTGCAGAGACTCCACAGCTCCTGCCCAATGAGACGCCTATCGAGGCTGCAGCCGCCGCTGCTGGTCTGTCACAGGTACACACACTTCACCCCTAAACTAATTCAAAGCTTTAACCCACACAGGGAGTCACCTCTTTCCTAAGAGTCACATCATGACATAGATAGATTTGTCAAATTCCTTCTCATTAAATAATAATTTCTCTTTGTGGTGTTACTCTACTCGTTATCTCTAAATGGGGTTCATTAACATGCGTTTCCTGAAAGCCAGTGAAAAATTTAATCTATTTTATTCCCTTAAAACCCCTTGAACTTGTAACTATAATTATCTCAAATAGACTAGAAAATTTGATGAGCAGCTTCCCATAATCCTGATTGGTGTACTGAAAGGATATGTGAAAGGATCATTTTGTAAGCGTATGGTTTTTGGTAAGGTTTTTTTTTATTTTTTGCGCAGCTTCTAATTTGCCTCTTCACTACAGGGGGGAAATTAGGCACTTGAGATTCTGTCTTTTACGCTCTGATGTGTATGCACTTTTACTGTAGTAGTTGTAAAAACAGTCAAGTCTGAATTCATGCTTGACTGTTTTTCTAATGATTTGAATTGCTCTCTTCAAGCTAGATATTAGTCACAGTTTAAATTTTTTTTTCTGTCTTTCTGCTTTTTAAACAAGTAGCAAATCACCACTCAGAAAAAAAGTACATCAACTGAGAAAATGTGCATTTTTTCATTATTGTGTTGCTACAGACTAGGCCTTCCACATAACTTTAACTATTTCCCTATATCAAGTTTTTTGTATATTTTATTGCTCAGACCCTTTTTAATGTTTTCTTATTATTATTAAATGTTAAAATGCTAAAAAGATGTTTAGGCCTGTTGTTATAACTTTCTGTATACTTTTTAATTATATCCAAATGCTGAAGGCTATAATTACTTATTTCATTCACAGAAAAAAAAAATATTTATGGATGCAAATAGAAGTAAAACCCAATTACAACCCAATAAACAATGTATAAAAAACCCACACTTATGACTCAGACACAGAGCCAAATAAGGACATGAAGTGACATGAAGATATCGGTAGTTAGTTTTTTTGTTTTTGTTTATTTAGCATTAGTTATTTTATTATATGTTTTTATAGCAATAGATTTCATCTTATTTTTAGTATTATATATTATAATGCTGTTCCATATCAGCTGGTGGACGAGACGAGGCTGCAGTCTTTTCTGCCCATTCGCAGTGTCATCGTCTCTTTGACTTTGTTTTTAGATCTCCATCAGATCTCCATCTGCTCTTATCTCATTTGAAACATCCACGCTGAAAATAGATACAACATAAGTGCATCTGCCCATCCGGTTTATGGATGTCCTCAGCAAAACCTCCCTGTCTCTCTGAGTCATCCTCTCTACTCTTAATACCCTCTCATCAAGATGGCTTAAGTGGGTGCTTAAACTATATTAAAAAAAACACTAACAGTTTTGTGCCACGTCAGTTTAATAGGCTGTCGCAGCCGATTGCGTCAAATGATGGTAGCACGGACCCCCACACCGTGCCCTTAGTAACACTGAATGCTAGCTTGAATTGAGTGTGACATGAGCTAACTCTTTGAGTGGATTTTTACATTCGGCATGCGAGTGTTTCTTTTCTGTGACTGTGTTCAGGAAGAAGTTGAACCTGTTTGTACTTTTTAGTGTATATAAAATATTAAAGGAGTGGCACAATGCTGGTACAAGAGGACATAATGTCCACTCTGAAAAGCTGGAAATAAAATCTAAGCAAAGAAAAAAATTAATAAAGCAAAACTCAAGCTTTTTTTTTTACAAACACCACAGTATGTTCTTAGACTCCCTGGAGAATTTATAATAAGTCTATGACAAATAGTCTAGTATCAATGATAAATACAAGGAAAACTATTTTTAAAATGTTTTAAACCCATGTGTGTAATTTTAATTTATATAACTTTAGAAAATGTTTAATATAATATATGTACAGTGTGTGTGTTTGTATATATATATTTAGGTCAAATTAATATTTTAAGAGACATATTGACCTAGCAGTGTAAAAAAAATTATGCAAATCTTTTAATGAGGCTTTTTTTCCCCTGTAGTATTTTTCCCTTTTTTCACCCTGACATTTTTTACGTTATCCTCGCCATATATGTCAAAATTAATTATAGTTCAGAAATCAAAACATGAAAATCCTAGAAGGGGTTTATTCAATTAATTGTAGTTTTTAGTAGTAGCATTTTTAACGGTATTTAAAATAAATAAATAAATAATGAATCCAAGGGTCCTTGACCCAAATTCCCTCTACAATTGTTATAGCAGTTCATCAGATAACTTGATGTGTATGTTTTCTGTCATCTCACTAGGTGGCGATGCAGGCTATGTCCAATCCCCAGAACCAGTCTCAGACAGCTGTTGATTTGTCTACTCTGCTAGCACAGAAGAAAACTTTTCAGTCCGATGCTCCTCGTGTTCTGTACCAGTGCGCCGACTGTGAGGTTCTCTTTGATGCTCTGTCACTGTGGCAACAGCACCGCAAGACGGGCTGTTGCCTTGAGACAGGACCTGGTCCTGGAGGAGAACAGAGTGTAGAAAGTCTCGAAACAGTAGCCCAACCGCTACCTGACCAGCCACAATACCAGGACGCTGAGCAGGCACACAAACAGATGGGGGAGAGCACTAGTCAAGAATTTGTGGAGGTTTCTGAAAGAGTTGCGACACATGCGATCTCTCAGCAGGGCGTAGCAGGCGACAGTGTCCCCAATGAACCTCCAGCTGTGCCTGGGGAGACCCAGGCTCAAGAGAACAGCCCAGTCACAAGGCGAAGGGGGCAGAAGAAGGCCAAACCCCCCTCCAGCTTGCTCTGCGTGGAGTGTGGACAAAGCTTCAGTATGGTTCCAGAGCTTGTGACTCACCGCAAGACTCAACATGGCTTGAAAGACGCCATACACCGGTGCACGGTGTGCGGAGAGGGCTTCCTCAACACCACCCTTTTCCTCTATCACCGTAAGCAGCACCGTTCAGAGGTAGAGGACGAACCCAAGCAGGCACCACCTACCATTCCACAGCTTTCCACAGCCATGCTGGAGGCCCCAGGTGAGGGACTTTTGCTTTTAGCCACAGCGGGAGAAGGCCAGAGCCTAATGGAGGTGACCACTCTGGAACAGACCATAACTGAGACCCCTGTGGCACATGTGGAGGTTGAGCTGGACAGTGATGGGATGCGAGGAACTGAGCAGGAACCTGCTGTGGAAGGCACAGAGATTTTGGTGGAGGAAAGAGACGGATCTAAGCAGGACGAAGGAATGGAGGTGGTCATTGATAAGATGGAGATGGAAATGAGCACTGTGGTTGAGGAGACCCAAGCAGAGGTGGAAAGTAATGCCGCTGATGAATCTGTGACGGGACCCTCCTCTGCTTTCCTCTGCCATCAGTGCGGATCTGTTTTCACTAGCGATCAGGAGTTGGCCACACACCGCAGAACCGAGCACAGCCTCGAGGCGGCGTTGCACACTTGCACTGAGTGTGGGGCTGAGTTCATGAGCACCACGCAGTTCCTGTACCATCGCCGGGAGCATAAGAACACAGCTGCGGGACGTCAACCCGGTGCTGAAGTGAAAAGCAGACACTACCCTGCTGCAGCTCCAGCTATTGCTGTGAAACCCAGAGAGAGCGTGAACCTCAGGCAAACAGGTCAGACTGAGTTCAAGACGCAATTCCAAAGAGACCTACTAAGTAGGATATCCGTACATGCTCTGTTGTTTGGGTGGTTTTCTAACTGATAATGTAACTCCAGGTTTATGGTTCTAGGCTGTGCTGGGTCTTAAAATAGTCAGACCTATATACATTTAGTAACTCAGAAGAGAACTTTTGTACAATTGAGAAATTGTTGAAAACCATGCTTAAGGGCTGGTTACTCAAGTCTGACATTATTTACTCAACCTCAAGAAGACTCTTATGCTCAAAAAGGCTACGTTCATTTGATTAAATAAAAACAGTGAAAACCGGAATATATTCTGAAATATTATCATACTTTTATTAATATGGAAAACTGATACTTGCTAAGTATTACAAATTTCTGGTATCTGATATTGACAGATTGTGATTATGGCCATTACTTAATTAGTATTTCACAATGTTCATAATGTTTAAGCCTGTAACGTATCAAATTAATTTGATATTACCGTGTTTCTGTCAAATGCAGCAGCAGCAGCAGCAGCAACTGGAGACGGTGCCATTGAGGCACCCGCCAAGCTGAGCCGCGACTGGTCACGCACCGCCCTTCCCCACGAGTGCCCACACTGTGGCCAGGGCTTTACTCGGCGCAGCCGCCTGCGTGAGCATGTGTTCCAGCACACAGGCGAGAAACTCTTCAACTGCAAAATTTGCAAAAAGAACTTCCCAACTCCGGCCAACCTGCTGCGTCACAACCTGACCCACGGAGGATCCCGCATATTCAACTGCCCCCTCTGTGACAAGCGCTTCTTCCAGCCGACGTCACTTAAACGGCACATGCTGATTCACCAGGGGAAACCCCCGGAACGCAGGGTCAGAGGCAGAGGGAAAGGCAGGGGACAATCAAATGATGGGCGTCTACACATCTGCCCAGAGTGCCCAGCCAGCTTCAAGTTTGAGACCCAGCTGAAGAGTCACAGGTCTGTGTTTTACCCAGCAATATAACTTCATTATTTGCTCACCATCATGCATTTCTTCTGCAAAACAAAAAAATAATTATTTTGTCTGGGCTATGAAAGTGAATGGGGTCCAAAACACTTAATTTATGGACAGAAAGAAAAAAAAAACACTTCCAAAATATCTTCTTTGGTTTCAAACAGATCAAACAGCCTTGGTTTAGAATGACACAACTGTCTCTTTAAATATATTCATCCTCCTCCAATAGCTTGTTCTCAGAGATGATTGATATTAAATCTGACTGTAAATAGAGATTGAAAGGTATAAGTAGTCAGCAAGAACCTAAATTGTCTGGCACTGCTTACAAATCTGATTTGGTTTTCAAATCTAATCTTTACAAGCGACTGTCCACACTGTGATTTAGCAAGTGATGAAATCTGATCCGTTTGTTCAGACGGTGTAGTCAGTATCCAATGCATCGACATGGCTTGCTGGAGTAATGGTGTAAGTAAACGTCACCACGATGCCAGTGTTTCTCAAACAACAACTCAAACTAGCTCTCAGTGTGGGAAGAGAGGACTGAAAGCTGCCTCTTCTCCTGTCTATCATGACAGCTCGCTGCCAGGCTGAACTACGAGGCGTGTGAACAGATGCATTTTGTGTATATAGTGAAAATGATACAGTTGTAAACATGGAAGGTATTACAAGTGGTTTTTTTTTTTTTTTTTGTGCAGTGGAAACGGCATATTTTTTGAGTGGGAACTAAAGATGACACCAGACCAATCACAGAGATGTCTCTGTTGGTTATCAATATCAAGCCCTGTTCGTGCCCTTCCTTGTTATGGTCTGTGACCCTACAGGTTTTTCTTTACCAGAAGCACTTTGCCTGTCAAACCGTGCAACGTCAGGAAGACGTCTGATTAGTCTTTTTAGAGAAGTGATCAATTAAACAAGACCCTGTGACATTTCTCACTGACTCCCATGTGGTGTATTTAGCAATGCCTTCATTTGGCAGCCAGTCAATGTGAATCTTGCAGAAATCAGAACAGGAGCACTAAACTGTCACCCTGGACATTCAGCATCTTTTGTAAAAAAAAATGGAAAAATGGTAAAATAATATTAGGGAAAAGGGTGGCAGATAGCTGGGTCAGTAAGATTCAAATCAAATTTGTCAGGAAATACATTTGTTATGTTTCAGTAGATTTCTATTTAAAATAAATGCTATTAATTCTTTTAAACTTTCAATTGATCAATGAATCTTAAACAAAATTAAGCTGCACAACTGTTTTCAACTTTAATTATAGGAAATGTTTCTTGAGCACTAAATCAGCATATTAGAAATGAATGCAGAATTGAAAAAAACACTTGGGGAGCTGCCGATGGGATAAAGAAATCAGTAGAGTGAAATGTTCTTTCTACTGAAGTACCATAATGATGATGGTCTAGTGTGAGATATGACTATGTCTTTGGTGTCATTAGCGTTTTGACTACATTTGAACGTGCTGTTATTTAACCTGGTATAAGTTGAATTCTTCTAAACAAGTTCAATATGTGGAACTGAAGAATGCCTTTTTATAATACATAATGTTAGATCATAATGCCTATTTATTTTAAACTCTATCCACAGGGGCTTTCATTACTGAATTTCTCATAATGGTCTGTGACACAGGAGTAAAACACATTAATGCTGCATTAATACAGGGCTATTATCTCTCAAACATCGAAGTTTCTTGATTTTCCAGAGCACTGTGATACAGCTAATAAGCATATGTCAGTAATTTACTGAAACTGTGTTGTTAATTGAAATGTCAGTAATTAAAAAAATTAAAGATGATCTCGTTTTTCCAGTCATTTTACTGAGGGCACTGGTTAAAGATGACATTGCGATGAAACTGAGAAGTAAATACGAGCAGTAATTATTGGTGTCAGCAATAATTACTGAGGTCCCTGGTGATTTGAATCCCAATGCGAGTGGGATTAAAGACATTTATAGAGGCTGCCACTCTCCCGCACGCCTATGTTTAATGACTTTTCTTCAGCTCAAAGTTAAAGCTGCATTATTTTTCTCTATGTTAATAATACCTTTATGCGAGTGCATGACTGTGTGGCTTATGAAATGTGGGTGAATTTAAACGTGGCTTTTCTCACATAGCGATTGTTTCTGGATTGGCTCCAGGGATTGCAAGATGTAGCCTTTCTTATTCACTTTCTCTCTTTTTTTCCCTGTTCTAGACTCCTACACACCAGCCATCCCTTCCCTTGCAATGTGTGCGGGGAGGCATTTATACGACGCAAAGAGCTGGACCTCCACTCTCTCATCCACCAAGGTCAGCCTACAGGAAACAATTACACATTCAGCCTTTTGTCCTTACGAGCTCTCATTCACACACTATTTGTGTTGCGCTCAAGTGTTAGGATTAAGGCTGTCGTTTGATTAAAAATATAATCATATACTGATTAATTGAATTAAGTAAGTGCATATCAATATTTGCAGAGAAAAGGCTCCAAATGAACATATTTCAAAGGCATTATATCATTGTAGCAGACAAAAGACATTACAAAAAAGTACCTATATATTGTCTTTATATAAAAATGAATTATTGCATTATTGTTTTTAATTTTATTATATACATATACATTTATTTATATATATATATATATATATATATATACAATGTAATTTTTGGTTAATATCTCTCTATTATGTCTCTCTATTTCTCATAGTTTATGTATATACTCTCTCACTCTCTCTCTCTCTCTGTGTGTGTATATATACACCGCGTTTACTAAATGAGGCAAGGGTGTAGAGTTACTGGCAGACAAAAGACATAACAAAAAAAGTACCTTTAGAAGTCTATATTGTCTTTATATAAAAATGAATAATTGCATTACTGTTTTTTATTGTATTATTTACTATTAAAATTTATAAAATAAATATAAAAATTTAAATATTAATAAAATGTAATTTTATTTTATATATATATATATATATATAGTGTAAAATGTAATTTTTGGTTAATATCTCTCTCTTTTATGTCTCTCTATCTCTCATAGTTTATGTATAGACCATTTTGCAAGATGTTACCAACACTGGTCCAGAAGCACTTCCTGTTTCAGTTTTTTAATACTACATAAAAGCTGGGATAAAATACAACCAACAGAACATATAAAAATGAATCAAAAAGTTAAACAAACATCTTTAAGATGTTTTCTTTACATGTGAAATAAAGAAAACAGTTACAAACTGAAACAGGAAGTGTTTCTGGACCAGTGTTGTTTACATCTTGCAAAATGGTCTATATTCTCTCTCTCTGTCAATTCAATTCAATTCAAAGGGGCTTTATTGGCATGAAAGTTTTTCAAACAATGTTGCCAAAGCATATACAAAATATATAAATACTATATATATATATATACATACATGCATACATATACACACATACACACACATATATATATATATACATACACACATACATACACACACACATATACACAAACATTTAACACAATATCTGGATATATCTATGTGTGTGTCGATCACTCACTCACTGCCCCTCAGGTTGTGGCATGTTTGTATATATTGGGCAGCAAGATAAGTTTTGTCTCCTTCTCCCAGGAGAAAGTTTAATTTAGAAATGTCACCCAGGTCTTTTTGAAATTTGGGATTATATAGTTAAATTTGTTAAAGTAAAGGTTCCTTGTGTCTTTGAACGCTTCACATTTTAGGAGAAAGTGCATCTCTGTCTCTCTCGCTCTCTCTCTCTGTCTCTCTCTCTCTCTCTCTCTCTCTCTCTCTCTGTGTGTGTGTGTATATACACCGCGTTTACTAAATGAGGCAAGGGTGTAGAGTTACATTTAAGCTATTTAGAGCATGAATATTTTTTTTTTCAATGATAAAAATATGTCATTGTCAATGAAATATGCCATTTTGGTGATCAAAGATGAGTTTTAAGGGATCAAATATTGATTTTTGTAACAGCGATTCAATATATATTAAATGCTGTAAAGATCATGGACATCCCTAATACACTCACAAACTCACTCAATTCTCCACAGCTCTGTCTGGGTTCATGTTTGTGTTTCTGACCACACACACACACACACACCGACTCTTTGACAGACCTTTCAAATGAATGAGCTTTCATCGATTCCTTTCCAGTAAATAGATGGGGTCAGAGGTCACATTGATCAGGATGGCTTGTGTGTGTATTGATAAGATCAGCTGCTGATCACTATCACCTCTGATCAGAGGTGAACAGAGGTGAGATGTTGATCACTATCACCTCCGAACAGAGCCTCTTACATGTATCAGTCCCCTGCCGCAGATGTTCCTCCCTTTAGCTAAGCAGGGGGAGAGAATGAAGCAGGATCATTTTCTTATATAGGTGTAAACAAGGGAGTGCAGTGTTGCTTAGTAGAAGCTTTTAAAAGCCTGTAAAGGTCAGTGAAGCAGTCACAGTCTGACAGTTTGAATGCTCTGCTTCTTCTAAACATCACATCACCCGTGACCCCCTTAAAGTGCTGTTATTTCTGTGTGCACTGTGCATTCTGTGAAATGTCTGCTTATCAGCCGCCCTCCCTCTGATTGGTACTGTGTGAAATAGGTGGATCTTTTTGGCCCCCTCTTCGTCTTCAGCTCTCTTTTCAGATAAGGAACAAACAATACGTGTTTGTGTGTTTATTCATTTGATAAGAAGCCATAGATGTATTTCTGCTCGAGTGTGCGTAAGGAAACGTGTGCATAAACATAAGTATCTCTCATGTGCGATGCATCAGAAGCCAAAGACTAGAGGGGTCTGTTTGGCTCTCCATTTCTCTTATTGTAGATAAGCACTTTATATATGAGTTGGGTAAGTTGGCCACTTTTAACTTAAGTTGTCCTCTAGTCAAGGAGAAATGAGAGGGAAGGAAAACTAAAACAGAAAGTGACTATAACATATGACCATAGGAATTTTAATTCTCGGGGAAGAAAAGGGTCGATTGTCACACCTTTCCCCACATTAGTGGGTAAAATGTGACATTTAATGGGGTACGTTGAATTGTTGAATGATATTTCAATAGCATTTGTCAGAAGAGCCACTGGCACAGTTAACGCTGAAGCATCTGACACGCTTACATTTAATAATCCCAATTTTTTTAAAGGCTTAATGTATTGACATTTCATAAAGAACCTGGATAAATTCGCTTTTATATAAATTACATTTTTACCTGCATGTAGAAGCTTAGGCCCTCAATCAAATATTTGATGGGCCCTTTCTAAATATGGTCATGTGAAAAGAAAAGGGTTGCACAGTTTCTAGTAGTTATATTTTAATGGTATTTTGGGATATCAAAAGCTGGATGAAAATACCAAGTTGTGGATAAAATCTTAAAATGCAGGTAAAGTGTATTTTATATCAATTGAGGCAGATAATTTGCGCATAATATGCACATAAACTAAAATGGAAACACTTTTACCGAATAAATTCCTTGTGCGCAACAAACTCGTGACTTTGTCTCAGCAGATCATGTGATTGGATAAATGGACTAACTAGAAGACTAATTTCTTTGCACAGCATTTCAAATGTTGTTTTAGTCGTTCTGAAATGCCTGAGACAAAGTCTGTTATCAAAATGATTTGGTATAATTACCTTCCAGAACTCAACTGTCTCACACAATTGTGTTCTCACACATCAGACATCCACCTCCAAAGGAAAGATAATACGACGGTGTTTGTTTCATCTGTGCGCTCTCTGAGGGGAAGATAGTTTATTATGTTAGAACAAATAGAATCTCAGGATTAGCTCAGATACAGGGAATATCATTTTAATAACTAATCATGAAACATGATCGGGAATCACCTACAAATGGTGCAAATGGAAATGGTGCTATTTTTCAAATGTTGTATGCGATATTCACATTTTTCATGCAAGTTAAAATTTGCAACTTTGGATGGAAACAAAGCTAGTGACACATCTTACCCTGCTCTCAAACCCCTGCAATCCTTCTTTCTTTCTTTGTAGATAAAGAACCAAAGACGTGTCCAAACTGCGGCTCTCAGTTCCTGAATCAGGCCGTGCTAGACACGCACCTGCAGCGCTGCACGGGGGAGGAGACGGGACGCCGCAGATATAAAGGTCAGGGAAGGGGCAAGGTGGGAGGTCAGCTGGAGTGTGATATGTGCGGCCATCGCTGTGTGACTCAGGATGGTCTCGACCTGCATCGCCTCTCCCACACGGGTCAGACACCCCTGCGGTGCCCGCTCACCCCCTGCAGACGACGCTTCGCCTCCAGTGCTGCATTAGGCGAGCATCTCGTGGCTCACTGCTGTGGAGCATTTGGCAAAAGAAACGCCCCTCGCCGCTTCACATGTGAGTTCTGCGGGAAGGAGTTTGCCTATGCGTCCACCTTCACCGTTCACATGAGAACGCACACCAACGAAAGACCCTTTGAGGTACGTTTCTTTCAGGAAAGAGAGAACTTGAATGGCTCAAATATGTGCTGGTTCCAATGTTCATGTTTATTTCAATCTTTTGTTTAGTTTGTACAGTTTACTATTTTATTAATTAATAATCCATCACAGTAACCATCATAGAAATACATTACTTTTTTTAAATATATTAAATATATTTAAAAAAAAATTGCAATAATATTTCCAATATTAATGCTTTTAATATAGCCTTGGTGAGCATAAAAGACAAATAATGTAGTTTTTAAAGCTATAAATATTTAATACATTTATCAACATAAAACATGAAAACCTAAGCTATTCATTTGTAGATAAAATGCTTATTTAAGTGGCTTTTATACTTATTTCAATTTACATGTTGCAAACTTATAGTTATACAATTTTTACAGCATACATTTTTTGTTTTTTCATAAGAATTTTGTCAGATCTTTGTAATAAAAATCGTATGTTCAGATGATTTTCGTCTAGTCTACCTCGTTAGTCATAATCAGAAAATCTTTCATCGTCACAATCTTTTCACATTTTCTCACATCTGTTTCAGTGCACTCATTGCGGGAAGCGTTTCCGGCAGCTTCCGCACCTGCAGGATCACGAGCGCATTCACAGCGGCGAGCGGCCGTTCACGTGCTGGGTGTGCGGTAAAAGCTTCAGTGTAGCAGCCAGGCTGACGGAGCACGCCCGTGTGCACAGTGGAGAACGCCCGTACGTCTGCCCTCGCTGCCCCACCGCCTTCCGCTCACGACCCAACCTCGACAAACACATGCGTCTGCACGCCAACGACCCCGTGGATCCTTCTGCACAGCTGGATGATGATGCAGCAGTACAGACCATCCTCTTAGTACAGGAGTCTGCCTCCTCTTCACCATCCTCCTCGTCCGCCATGCCTGTGATCCAGGAGGGCATGTTGGTGGCAGAGGAAGGCAACTCTGTGGTCTTCCTGCACCCCAACCTTAGCATGCCCACCATCACTGTGCCCTCTATAAATGTTCCCAACATCTCTGTAGTGGCAGGTCAGGATGTGCCTCACACTATTGAGGTTATTTTAGAGGAGACTGTGTAAAGATGATGGGGGTGGTATGAACATAACATGATTTAGTTTTTTTTTTTTTTTTTTTTTTTTGTGGAAAGGCAGATTCAGCAATAGATAAACCACAGGTCAGATCGTAACAAAAGTCTATTTGTATGTGTGGATTTGTGAGAGATGCCTCTTTGACTAGGAAATATTTCGCTTTTGTGATATAGATGTACAACGATTCAGCATCTTTACCCTGGAGAAAACAAAATCACAAGGCCTTTTGTAATTAAATTTCCCTCTGTAATTACGTTTTAATTTTATCTTTTCATTTGCCTTTAATACAAAAATTGGACCATAATTTGTGGTGTTAAATTTTAATAAAAAGCTTGAGCTTGTTGATTGGCTGTTAAAGTTTCATTTAAAGAGATTTTTAGGTGTGCAAACTGGAATACAGTCGGTGAGAAAGTGTTCTTGTCAGCTCACCGATGACTGCGCGTGAAGCTTGGGCCAGTCAGGGAAAAATCATCTTTGCTGATGATTTTGAATGAATTGAAGGTGCAAGGTCAGAATTTTTAATCATTTAGTTTTATTCTATACCAAGATTGTTATTGATTCTTGCACCACAAACACTCTTAAATCAGAATTAAAGAAGCCATTTCCTTGTAAATAATAATAATAATAATTCAAAAAAGCTTATTTTGATGTGTTGACTAAAAGCACAATTTAGTGTTAACTGAAGCACAATTACAGAATTTGATTATAATTTTAACTGCAGTGTTGTACGATGTCCTAAATTGCAAGTTATTATACATACATCATTATATACATCATTACAAATGTGTAATTAAGTATATATTTAAATGCATGCCATGCAAGTTTCAATAGAGATTACATTATATTACATTAAAGTATATTTTAGTTTGTAAAAATGATGTCTGTACATTTGGCAACATACTTTAACCCCATTTCAAAAACAGTAAAAGTAATTATTAAATTACAAATTAGTCTTACCTAAGATGGATCAACTAACTGCGTGTAATATAAATTTTAACTAATACATATTCATTTAATTGTAAATAAAATGGAAGTAAGTGTATGAAGAAATTACATTTTATTCACTATGAAGTATCTTATATAGTAGGCCTAAGTATAAGTATTTCCTTAATAAGTACTGCCAAAGTGTAATTCTTTTTCATATGGCGTTAAATGTGTTATTTATTTAAAGTGATTTTTATATAATTCAAATTCAAACTGTTCATCATAGTGATTTTTATATAACTCAATGCAACAAAATAAAATCATTTGCTTGAGTAGATCCAATCATCACTGAAATAACTGTCCTGAAATATCACGCTTATTTATTTTACAGTTTCTTTTCGATAATATAAAAATGTGATTGCTTGTCTAACCAATCAGAAGGCTTTTGAGGTGCTTTTCCCTCTGTCAATCATTTAGCGCTTCCATATATGGGAAGCCGGAAGCTGAGCGCGTGATTGGTGATCTTAAAGGTTTTCCTGCGTTTGGAGGATGCGAAAATGTGGCAACTTCTTGGAACGTCTTAAGTAGGCTAGTTTAGCTGTTCAGTGGAATCTTCACTACAATTAAACACAGGTAAAAAAAAAATATATAACATGGATGGCGGAAGTTCTAGAAAGGCTGGCAACACCTTTAAACATTTAGCCTACCGAAATGTATAGTAATAATAATGTTAGTTCATTATCCTACCTGTAGGCTATTTACGGTTGCTAAGCAACACGGAGATCATTTGACGCACTGATAATGTGCGGTCCCAGGTGTGCGGCCACTCGGAAAAATGACCAGATACCCGCAGGAACGAGGCATCATTTGTCCTGCCAATCTGCCTCAGAATTGTGTGCGGAGAACCAGGCCAGTTTTTGTGCTGGCACAAATAAAACAACGTGGGGGGAAGCATTTTAAAGGGATAGTTCATCCAAAAATGTAAACTTTTGTCTTTAATTAGTAGCCTACTCCTCAAAATCCTCATAATGTTCCAAATACTAAAGACTTCCATTTATCTTGAAAATATTGATTACCGTTCATCATTAATTAATCAATATCTGAGCAATTTCTCTCCCTCCATTGAGAGCTATGCTACAACCACTTGCTTGCTTGATGCTTCAAAAAGTTAATACAGAGAGACTGTCAAACTAAACCATTAGAATTGAGCATAGCCAAACAATTTCATAAGAGACACAATCTCCTTATCGTTGTTCGCCACGGAGTCAAATGTGAGGTTACAACATGGGCGTGGGCGCGAACTGGTTGGTAGAAAGAACCAAAACATGTCGCATCAGTCAGCACAGGTAGTTTTGTCAGCAGGCCAGATTTGACATTCAGCGACATTTTACCTTACCTGTATCTCATCGACACGCCATCTATGTTTACCAGAGAGTCTATGAAGGCGTACAAATCTTTAGATGCCTATTAGTGAGTTATAATATATAATATAATTATAATATAATATTAATTATAATATAATATTTTAAGGATAACTGGGGTTACTCTTATTGAACCTGTTAATTCACAGCCGATCTTCTGACAACCAGAGCGCATGTAACCGCGTCATGACGTCACGGGCGAAAATCGCTGAATGATGAACAGATTGAATTTAGGTTTTTACTCACATAAACGTTCATCAACTCACACAGCAGTAATGATGAACAGAAGCTCAAGCGTGTTTACTTGACGTTCATGAACGAATGAGATTCATTCTAGTTTGTTACGCAGCAAGTTTGAGCTTCTCCTTGTCAAGCAGGTTCCGATGAGCTCATGTTTGTTTGCTGATCAAAAGCCTGAATTAAATCGGCGATCAAAAGCGATCATGTCTCTTCTCTTCAGAAAATGTGGACTAAACCATTCAATTCTTATGGATTAGTTTTACGATACCTATGAACTTTTTGAGCCGTCAGAGTGGTAGTTGCATAGACTGTCAATGGAGGGACAGAAAGCTCTCAGATTTCATCGAAAAGATCTTCATTTGTGTTCTGAAGATTAACAAAAGTTTCTCACAGTTTGGAACATGAGGGTGAGTAATTAATGACAGATTTTTCATTTTTGGGGGAACTATCCCTTTGAATTTCTTATTTTTTTTATGACATTCACTAAACCGGCTCCCCTGGGTAACGTTACAAACATAATAAATGATCCTGCAGTTTGTAATGTAAGTGATGACTGCAGTGAAACCAGCACTTTGGGCTCTTTAACTGCAAATCTCGTCATGAATTTTCACTAGTTGAATGAGGTTTGAGTTGAGCTCCATTACCTCAGCTCATTGAGAGATTGAGGCTAAGTAGAGCCATTACTGGAGCTCACAGCGTTTGCCTGCACTCGGTTCTTTGCTCCCTCAATTTACTCCTGGCTGCTGAACTCCTCCCCCATAAAGCTGCTGGATCATTATGATTAGTCCCATAAATGATAGACAGTGATATCAAAACAGCATTCCCCTTCCCTGCACTGAATTCCCAAATAACTATTTGATGCATATCTTCCCCAGCTCATTAATTTACAGACTTTGTCTAGCAATTACTGCGTGACCTTCATGTAAATGTGCAATTTGCAATTTAAGATACACCAGGTTTTTCTTTCTTTTTTTTTTCTTTTTTTTGGCATTGAACTGCTTTGGGGGACAAATAAATAAGATAATCGATTTATGCAAAATGCTTTTGATTGAATACACCTTCTGATAACAACATATAACAGTTGTTTTTGAACCATGCAGAAAGGGCTTTAATGGATGTTATTAGAGCCAATAGGAATACTCTGGGTTCAGTACAAGTTAAGCTCAGTCAACAGCATTTGTGGCATGATGTTGATTACCACAATTCATTTTGACACGTTCTCCCTTTTTTCTAAACAAAATAATAAATCTAGCCACATAAAGTGGCCATGGGTTTGAAATTAAAGGAGTTCACTTTAAAAAAAAACTTTGCTGATAATTTACTCACCCCCATGTCATCCAAGATATCCATATCATTCTTTCTTCTGTCGAAAAGAAATTAAGGTTTTTGATGAAAACATTCCAGGATTTTTCTCCATATAATGGACTTCCAAAAGACACTTTTAGTGCAAACTGCAAACTGTTCAAAGGGCTTTAAACGATTCCAGGCGATAAATAAGGGTCTTATCAAGCGAAACGATCGCTCATTTAATAAATAAATAACAAAGTTTAAGTTTTAAAAAGCTCAAATGCTCGCCTTGCTTTGTTCTGTGACGCACGTTTGTGACTCTCCTGTTCGAACCCGTTCATCAAAATGAGTCATTTGGTTCATTCAACGAACGAAACGAATGAATTGACTCCGAAAAAGATTCTTGATTTTGATGAACGAGTTCGAACAGGAGAGTCACGAACGTGCATGCAGTACAGAACAAGACGAGCATTTGAGCTTATAAAACTTAAACTTTGTTATTTATTTATTAAATGAGCGATCGTTTCGCTTGATAAGACACTTATTCATCGTCTGGAACCGTTTAAAGCCCTTTGAACAGTTTGCAGTGAAACCGTTGAACTGTTTGGTTCCCATTGAAGTCCATTATATGGACAAAAATCCTGGAATGGTTTCATCAAAAACCTTAATTTCTTTTCGACTGAAGAAAGAAAGACATGGACATCTTGGATGACATGGGGGTGAGTAAATTATCAGCAAAAGTTTTTTAAAAGTGAACCACTCCTTTAACACTCAGCAACCCACCAGATGTGGGTGAAAATTAACCAGTAGTGGGTAACACATATCACTCAATTGCCAGTTTGGCAGATTGTGATTCATTAATTTTCCTCAGATGATTCATAAATAAACATAAACAAAAAAAAATGTCCTTCAACCAGGAGCCTCCAACATTAGACAAAAAAAGGAGTAAATAGGGTCGCACACTGAACGAGAAGCACCACGTCTTTAAAATTCAAATAAATTGTTTTTACATTTATTTATTTTTTTTGGCCAGTTTTGAATGGGCAGTAAATAAATCATTTTGTTGCTAAATTGTTTAGAGAGTAAAAAAGTACATTTCGAATCTTGCTCAAGACCCTAATATGTTAACATGATATAGTATGAGTGAACAGTTGTTATTTTTTGTGGTAATCCACATTATGGACAAATGCTGATGAGCTTAACCTGTACCCGAACCCTAACCTAGAATATTCCTTCAATGTTGTTTATTTCCTAAATCAGATTTCTTAGAAACTCTATGGTGTTTTAAATTTTTTTTTAATTTTAGGAATCATGCAGTGAAGTTGAATTGATTAAATATTATCAACAACAATACGGGAGAAAAACAAGCTGTAATTTGCTCCTTCAAATCTGATTCCTGCTACAGCAGTTTTACTCGACTTCGCTGCGATGAGGCTTGTTTTGTATTTAAATGATAAAGATATTTGGGGGATGATGCATATATATTTTGCGGTGTGTATATAAGTCCCCTCTCTCTCTCTCTGTGTGTCTCTTTGCTGAGGTAGCTGTACCCACAGTGACTTTGACAGAGTGTTCCCCCTTGTGTGTTGCCCCTCTGTGTATGTGTGTGCTATATCCGTACTGCAGTTTGTGTATGTGCTGCCTGAGCTGCAGTGTATATATATTCATTAACAAAAGAGACACATGAGCTTGTTTGTATGTGGAAACGATGATTTGGCCCTCGTGGATTTTTCTGACCCTTTGTCTTTGTGTGTTTGAGAGCGAGAGAGGGGCTAAACGTGATGAATGTATGCACATGCCAATGTCTGGAAATGCCATATTATGCTCATGTGTGTTTTTGAAATGGTAACGTGTGCACAGCCTCCTGTTGAAAGGTTTGTCATGCTTATCTGGTCTAGTCGGGTCTATTTCTCTCTCCTTCTCTCTCACACGCGCTCTCTGTCTGCCGGTCCTTCTCGTTACACCGCTATACCATCTCTCTCTCTCTCACACACACACACACTCCCCCCTTTCCCCCATTTATTGTAGAGGCTGTGTGACTGGAATACTGAGTAGCTAATCATTATTCCACCAGTGAGGCACATTGCACAGCCTGAATGTCGATTCTCTCTCTCTTTCCTTTTCCCGTTCCCTTCCTATTCCCTATCCTTCCCCCATTCCCTCATCTCTCTTCCAATTCACTCCATCATTCCTCTTCCTTTTCCCTTTCCACCTCTGTCTCTCCTTCCCCTCCCATTCATTCCATCCTCTCTCTCTCTCTCTCTCTCTCTCTCTCTCAGCCTTGTACCCTTGGGTTTCTGCATGTCTCCGTAAGAGTAACAAGGAAATCTTATGGAAATGTGGAACCTATTCAGGGATTTACCACTGGTTACAGGTATAGGGATAAGGCTTTGAAACGCCTCATCCCTGTGCAGATTTGTGCCTTATTGGAGAGCGTGTGTTGGGTTGCATCAAAAGGGGATTCTGTGCGGATGAGGCTGCGGAGCAGAGCAGAGGTGGAGAGACAGCTGTTGAATGCATATTTAGCCGTTTTCAGGGAAAAGAGGAGAGAGAGAGAGAGAGGGAAAGGGCGGGCCGGGTGAATCTCCTGTGTGTAGACAAACCAGGCTGCAGTGAGGGGGACTCCTGCTTAACAACAGGTGCATATGACAACCCTTAAAGAGACACAACACGCATCATTTAAAATGAATAGTTTCGGTCAGTATTGTCAATAATGTGCTCGTGGCAGAAAAGGAATTAGGTTTTTTTTTTCGCATGTCAAATTAAACTTTTTTTTGTTTGTATAAGAATAAAGGTAAAATAAAATTATAATTATTAAATATATTGTATAGGTTATTATAAAAATATATTATAAATATAACATGCATAAATATCATTTTCATGAATATAATTAATAGAAACAATTTATACAATAATATACATGTTTATGTAGGCTACTGCATACACTGTAAAAATGATCTAATCAAAAAAATGTGGCAACAGATTACAAGCAATATTATTAATTAAATTCAACAAATTAGAATTGAATTATTATTAATCAAATTAATTTCTTATAAGTTGACCATTTAAAATGAGCAAAACTTGCAACATCAACCAAAAAAAAAAACATTAATTGAAGTCACCATTATGGTGATCGGGGTTTGTTTTAAAATTAACTGCTTGTTAACATCAGGTGTCTTCAAAGTTGGCAATATAAAATAAAGAGTTTTCAGTTAATCTTTGACGTCTGTCTGTTAGTAAGATATTTTTGTTACATTTTTTGGTGTAAACATTACTCATTTTAAATGGTTAACTTTTAAGGAATAATTTGATTAATTATGACTCAATTCTAATTAGTTAAATTTAATTAATAATATTGCTTGTAATCTGTTGCCACAATTATATTGATTAGAGAAAGCATATTCATTTTTACAGTGTATATGTATTAAATGAAATGAAATTAAACTAAATGTAAAACATCTCAAATTAAAAATGCGGTATATGTTTGTCAGCCTGTTCTGTACTCTCAGATAGTATGTGTGTAGTCTGAGTTGGCATTGTGACGTCTGCTACCTGTGCTGCAAGGCACGTCAAGTGTTTCACGCTCGTGACGCTTTTCTTCACTTATTTAAATACTTGTGTGAGAGAATGGTGATTTCACTGATGCTGGCTGAGATTTGTCTTTGAAAAAGGAAGAGGAGGAGAGAGAAAAGGAGAAAGGGGCTGTAGGAAGGAGTAAGAGCTGATTGGATTGGAGGGAGAGCAGAGGAGGTATGGGGATACAATGAGCTGAGAGAGAGAGAGAGAGAGAGCGCATATGAGGAAGGGAGGGGGATTGGAGTAAATGCAGCTTGCACTGCTGTGCTTTGGAATTACAGCTATGAACATTGTCAGGGTCTTGTAAAAGAAATGAAAGCAAAGGAGAAAAGGACAGAGCCTCTTGATGCTCGACGCTGAAGAGAGTGTGTGAGAAGACAGAAGGAAAAGAGGAGGCGCACTGAAGGAGCTTCACAGAATCCTCTCTCATCTTCAGTTCCTGAGCAGATCGGCCTGTTGTCCCCCATCACCGGGGTCGTCATTGGAACTGTGTCTCATTGAGGGTATGTGTGTGTGTGTGTGTGTCAGATTACTGCTTATTCCATTATGACTGTATTCACAGCTCATAAAGCACAACTACAGTGTTGTGGTGCCTTGCTTTTAAAACACTGAGTGAAAGAGTAGGCTATATCATGCCGATGACTGACTGACTGTGTGTGTGTGTGTGTGTGTTGCCGGCGTGTGATTGGTATTCTGTAGACAGTGTGCAGTGCTCCAAACAGGCTCTGCTCAGAATGGCTCCACAGAGCAGGGATTGTGTTAGCCTGAGGAGGACCACTCTCACACAGGGGTGAGTTTACAACAGCCTCTCACGATCTCTCTTTAGCTCTCGTTTGGTTTTTCTCTAGATCTCTCTCTGAAGTCCTCTCTTGTTGCTTCATCTCCCTGTCAGAGATGTCCTCTGGCATCACTCTTGATGAATTTCTCATTTGCTGTTTCGTTAAATCTCTGTGCACCGTTCAGATCTTCTCCCCTCTTCCCCTTTTCCCTGATCTCCCTGTTTTTTATTCTTCTTCCATCCTCTAGTCTGAGTCAGAGAGAGCTGGCTGTCTTCTGTTGGCACATTTTGAGAAAATTTGGTAGTATTTGGTTGCGTCTCTCTTCTTCTCTGTACCATCCTGATTTTTCCTAATTTTTACACTGGAAATAATCATTTTTTAATCAGTATTTTGCCTGGGATTCCAGGAAAATCATTCAAACAACCTTAAAACAAGATACAAAAATATATATATGTTGTTGAGGTAGGTTTCTTTACCCCATTGACAGTTGTTCTTGTTTTAAACATAAGCTCCAATTTATTTAGATTTATGCTTAAAGAAACAACAAATAAATGCCCTAAATAATATATTTTAAACATAAATCATAAGTGTAATAAGTTCTTAATTTGAATTGTTGTTTTGTATTTCAGTAAATATCTGAAGATACTTAAATCAATCAATTTTATTTCAAATAATTATTTTTTGAGGTTATAGAGAAATGTTGTTTTCGGAGAATATGTCTTGAATTAAGTAGCCTACATTTTGTTTCTTACCTCATTTTATTTTCTTGTTTTAAGCATAAACCTCTTGCAATTGTTACATTTATTCTTAAAATACCCCCCAAAAGAAAAGGGTTTTTTTATTTTTTTTTAAATGCATTTATTTATGCTTATTTGGGACCAATGGGGCAAGAAATATACATTTAATTCAAGAAAGTTTTTCTCTCAAGTCAACTGATCTTAGGGATCCTTAAAAAAACCTGGTTTATTTATTTATTTATTTATTTTTCTGCTGAGATTTTCCATACTTAGTTTATATTCATGGAGAAGGCAGATATCTTTCCTGTTGCACACATTGGCACTGCTGCTTGTGTCTCTGTTATATCTGTGTGGTGGACACTGTTGCTTACTGTTAACCGTCAGATCCAGCTCACTCACATGCGCTCTTTTTCACATTTTTTGCACTTCTCTGTGTGTGTGTGTGTGTGTGTGTGTGAAGAGAACATGGCAGCTCTTGTCTGGTGCCTCAGATGTGGATTTCTCACATTACATCGATCCAGATTTCTAACCTTTTGTCTCTGTCTTCTAACCTGATACACTCACACACACACATCAGATCTCACCTCCTCACTCTCACACTAGTGACGTTGTGCTAACATGCTAAATGCTCCCCTAGGATTATGTGTTTGTGGATGGCTGTGTATTGATCAGTAGCATTTTAGAAAGCTTTAAAAGGTCATAGTACAGGCCTGGTCATATTTTAGTGTCCATCTTCCCCTGCGTTTCACCCCTTCTAGCCTTATTAACTGTTTTACTGGGTTTGTGAGTCAGCAGGCCTTCAGCCCTTTGCGTATAGGTGTGTGAGTATAAAGAAGGACTTGTCTGTGTTGGTAGAAGGAGTGAGAGAGCAGGGTGACTGAGGGGATGGATGGCCCAAGCAATAGGATGAAATGGAGAAGAAAAGAGGCATATTTGAGTAAGTCGCTCTTGAGAGTGACGTGTGATAAGCAAGAGTGACATCAATGTCAGGACTGAAACCTTTCAGAGATGCCCTCTCACTTCCCTTCACTCTTTCTGCCTCTCCACTTATATTATTCTTTCATGAGTTTTTTGGTTTCAACTGTCAATTTGAAATTTAAATTGTGTACGTTAATTCTGCGGAATTGAGTAATTTAAGCTAGAGCATCAATAAAATAAGAAGCAGGAAAAATAAGGTGCCAATAAATGGTGATTTAAAAACTAGATTTTAAAAAATTGTGTTGCTTTCCATTTCACCATTGAGTGAGGCGCAGTTTGAATGTCAATTCTCTCTCTCTCTCTCTCTCTCTCTCTCTCTCTCTCTCTCTCTCTCTCTCTCTCTCTCTCTCTCTCTCTCTCTCACACACACACACTCTTTCTCTCTCTCCCTCTTTCCTTTTCCCATTTTCATTTATTTTCCATATCACTCCTCCATTCCCTCACCCCTCTTCCAATTCACTCCCTTATTCCTCTTCCTTTTCCTTTTCTGCCACCGTCTTACCTTCCCCTCCCATTTAGTCCATCCTTTCTCTGTCTCCCAATTTTCTGTGATTGCCAGGTATTGGTTTGTTGGGTTTAGGGGTCAGGGGGTGGAGCTGGGTAGGTTTAGGGGTGGGTTTAGGGGTCAGAGGGTGGAGATGGGTATGTTTGGTGGAGTTGGGTAGGTTTAGGGGTCAGGGGGTGGAGCTGGGTAGGTTTAGGGATCAGGGGTGGAGCTGGGTAGGTTTAGGGATCAGGGGTGGAGCTGGGTAGGTTTAGGGGTGGGTTTAGGGGTCAGGGGGTGGAGTTGGGTAGGTTTAGGGGTGGGTTTAGGGGTCAGAGGGTGGAGCTGGGTAGGTTTAGGGGTGGGTTTAGGGTTAGGGTTTAGTTGAGTTGGGTAGGTTTAGGGGTCAGGGGTGGAGCTGGGTAGGTTTAGATATATAGGTGGGAGGAGTTGGATCTGGATCTGACTCCTCCCCGTGGATTTCATGTTCAATAATCATAATCCCAACAATAAAGTTGTGGTCACATTTACAGTTGTTCAGTTGGTTTTCAATTGCAAAATCCTGTTTTCAAAAGGAACCCACAAGAACGAGAATTTCATGTGAGGTTAAAAAGATTTTTTGTTGATTTCGTCAAGTTGGTCACGTGGATTCTTCGCATTGACCAACAGAAATCTGCTAGGTGTGTGGTTGACTTCTGTGTGACATGCTTCATACTACATCACTACACTCTTGGCAATAGACAGTGGGCCTTTTCCCCCGCAAAGTTTCGCTTATGTGACTGCATTTTAAAACTCTATGGCCTGTTTTCACAGATAGGGCTTAGATTAAACCAGGATTACGCCTTCGTTAAATTAGGACATTAAGTAGCTTTTATAAATGTGCCTTAGAAAAAAACATTACTTGTCTGCATCTTGAGACAAAACAATGGCACTGACATATTTTTAGGTTTATATATATATATATATATATAGTTATACTGTATATAGTGACGAAAAATGTGAAATCACATTATTTGAGTCATAATGTTTAAAAAAAAAATATTTTTTTATCTTTGTTCCTGCCCTTTAAGGGTTAAAACTGTAATTGGTTTCTGAGGGTGTACTGCTCAAATATGAATTTTGCTGCAAGAGCTGCATAACTGACCTTCCCATTAGTTATTCTCTTATTCTGTCTCTACCCTTGTTTCACTGTCCCTCTGTCTCTGTCTGTCTCTTCCTCTTTGTCTCTACACCTTTCCTGTCCTCTTTTTTTCTCTCGAACTGAGCACATCTTTTTAATGCAGTCCCTTTTTAACGTCTCATTCTCACCCTGCCACCGTCCATGTCGCTTCCTCTCCCAGCTCTCATCGCTCTTTTTTCCACCCTCTCCCTTCACCCCTTTCCTCTCCCCCTCCTCCCCTTCATATCACTCCATCTGATGAGAGAGGCACCCTCATAATCAAAGCATGACATGGAGAATTGTATGGAAATAAGAATTTGGACAGAACAGCTCCACGCCTGGGATCCACCTTTAATTACCTGCTCTTTTTATATTTATAGAACAGTCCGTCTCACAAGAGAGTTTGGCCGCTCTGATGAGGCTGTTATCTGACATGACCAACTGCAATTAGTCAGTCGGGGGACCCATGCCCAAGTCCCCTCAAATCTGATACAAATCCTTAGGCTATTACATGTTTGTTATCTTATTATTAGTTTAAGTGAAAGCCCATTCACAACCCATTTTTATTTTCCAATATTCATTTTCGGGTAAAACACGATACAAAAAAGGCTTTGGAATTAATTTTATCCAACAGCAAATGATTGAATATGGAAAGGGTGCCAAATGCTAGAATTCTAGTTTATTAAAACAATGCCCAAGTAGTTATTTCGTTATTGATTAATATATCTGATAGCCAACAGCAAATAAAGTGTGTTTGTTTTTAATTAAAGATTTACAAGTCAACTATTTCTTTGATTTGGAATAATGCACACCAATGAATCATTCACAACAAGAGCAGGAACATGAATTAAGGATGTAAATGGGGTAATGACTATATCTATCCCTGACTTATTAGTAAGTCATGATACACTACTTCACTGGTTTTATTGTTTGATAAGGCTGTTTGATTGGATATTGATTGCAATGTATATGGTCTTGTCACATATGAGCACATCCATTCAATAACATTACATGAATTGTATTGATACTGGTATACTGTAATATAAATGTGTGGTGTAACTGAATGACTGAAAGTGTGATGATACAATGTGAGCCAGTAGGTAATACAATGAAATTGTAGCTTTAATTCAGAAAAATCAGTATGGTACTTGAAAACTCCCTCGTAGTAATCATATCAACATTGTAGGTTGCCGTCTGTACTACAGCATAATGAATAATTGATCATGAACATTTCTGGCTGTTTTCCTCAGGTCTTAAGCAACGCAAGGCCACAAGACTCTAACGAGCTGAGGAGGAAAGTGTCAGCGTGGCGACAGATGTGACGCTCCTCCTCTCCCCAGCGTCTTTGCGGCTCTAGTCTGTTTGCTTCTACAGACCTCGGAGCAGCCATAACTCGACCCGCCTCCGTCCTAGAGGTGCCATTCGCAGGAGAGAGAGGGAGTGTCTGGTGTGCCAAAGCTCATTCCTGAACTCCTGAAGGGAGGAGCCGTGGGAATTGGAGGGATAGCTGGATTGATGAGGGTGCGGGAGAACAGAGCGTGAGCCGCTCTCCAAATCTCCATCCGAGTGCTGGGCTCCTTAATCATTTCATCCTCTCAGAGACTTCAGCCTAACTTATTCTGGAGGATTTTTTCCCCTTAGACTTGATATATTTCACTATATGTTTCTTTGCTCAAGTCAATGCTCCCTTCATCAAATGTGGCAGGTGGGCCAGAAGAACGATTCTCTTTGAAACTAAAAGCAATAACGTGTAAGTTAGAGTGAGGCTGCCTAGGAAAGCAGGGTAAAAGTGCTGACTGTTCTTGGAGTGTTTGAGTTCAAGTGTTTATGTGCGTGTATGTGAGACTCAGAAGGCCTGTGCGGCAATGGACGAGGGTTTGTGCGGAGAGCTGACTGGAAGAGGCAGCTAGACGTCGGAGAAGAACTGAAGCCGCTATGTGTGCGCGTGAGAGTGCGTTTGTGTGCGAATATGTGTGCGAGAGCGTGTGATTGTCTCTTGGAGTGCAGAATTCGGAGAATTGGCCATTATTGCCGCTCCCTCCTATTTTTGTGTCGGAGCTGGCAGGGTCAACATTAACAGCAGGAGAGAGAGGGACGGATACAGCAAACAATAAGTAACAGTGTCACCATATTTTTGATGCCCATTGGGAATGCTTGAGCTTTGTAAAAAAAACTACTTTTTTTCTCATCGAAATGGATTATTATAATAATCACAGCTCGTGAAGGGCTCTCAGATGGATCATTTCGAGCTGGAATACCTTCTCCGTTGAGACTCTCCACACTACTCCATTTCTGTGACTTTCAACCTGTCATCCTAGAAGACGCGTTGCGATTCCCCGGAGGACTGCGTTCACTTGTTACCACGGCAATCCATGGCACCCTGTTCCTGACAAGGTCTGCTTCATTCTGTGAGTATTTTTATTCTTGTTGTGTGAGTGTGTGCATGAGTGGGCATTTGGAATGAATCTGTAACAGTTGTTTAGGCTTAAAAGGCTTTAAGCTTGTTTGTTTTGCCGGTCATGTAATGGTACGCTTGAAGTGATCGTACATGTGTTTTTGCTTTGCAGACAATATGAGCCTTTTATTGCTGTGACGCCCACCATACTCTGTCACTGCCCATTAGATAAAGTTCCACTCATTTGTTTTTGTTTTCTCTTGCGTAACCTTCGGACGATCCGACTCCCTCCATCACCTGAAAACGAATAGGGATGTGCCCTTAAACAGCCCAGTGAACTATGAATAACATCACCACACACTCCCACCATATACACTTCCTACAGTGCTCTGCGGGCCTGAATATCCTCTTCTGAGTAAATGGAGTGCATTTATGGGTTTTTGTGGGCAGGCATGTAATAGGCCTATTTGAGCTGGGATATTTGGGATACAGATTGGAATGCCAGAAAAGTGTTGCAGGATCTGAATTAAAGTTCACCCAAAAATGAATATTATCCCATCATTTCTCACCCTCAAGTCATCCATGGTGTACATGACTTTTTTTCTTTCAGCCAAACACAATCGGAATTATATTAAAGGTGCAATGTGTAACAAAGTTGAGTATCTATTAACAGAAATGCAATATGACATCCATAACTATGTTTTCAGTGGTGTATAAAGAACTTACTTAATTAACCGTAATGTTTTTATTACCTTAGAATGAGACATTAATAGCTCCATAACCGCGGGAATCCCCTTCTATGAAGGTCGCCATGTTGTGACGTCATATTCCTACCTTAGCCGAACGCGAACAAACAGCGCTACAGAACGCGTTTCATCACTACCTTGAAAGAGAAGTAGCGGAAAGCTGGAAGCTAGCCTTACACTCCGTGAGTACTGACTTTTCCCTTGTGAGTGGTGTAAAATATGTAGTTGGGATTGTTTCATGTAACTTAGTTCTCCCTCGCTGTGTTATGGGTTTGTTATGTTGGGGATAGATGTGCTGTTACGTTCGTGAGACAGCTGATGATTAGTATTCATGTCATTGACCGTAAAACAGTGCGTTACATGAATCACTAACCCGTCGATACAGACTTTTAGATCACTAAAGTCGATCACGAAGAGTTTTCAAAATCAGAGAAAAAAGCCTATTGTGTGTAGTAAATAGTATCTATGGGATGCGGAGATGACATGATTGTAACACCGCGCACTTCCGACCTTTGGACTCATGCGATGCGGACGCGTCCCAGCTCAGCCACAGTAACAGCTCATATTAGCCAGCTAAACTATTACTACCCTGTTAGAAAACATATATAGCTGCTCCCTCGCTGTATTATGGGTTTGCTACAGTATGTGTGGAGAAATGTGCTGCTGGTTACGTTTGTGAGACAATCAGCTGATTACTATTATTATATTAAATTATATATTAAAACCCTTGATCCTCACCTGACTATGGCTTTGTAAACAGTATCCATGATGTGGTTTATAATGGACTGTGGTACAGAAACAGTGACAATGTTACACACTCTCGGCTTACTCTGGCTATTCTCTGCTGTCTCAGCCGTCGAGATGTTTGTCCCGTTTTAGCAACCGTAGCTTCTTCGAAAGGGAGGGGTGAGCAGTGGGCTGAGCCCTTAGTGCAAACCTGGTGCAAACTCGCAACCGAACCACTAGATGTCGCTAAAAATCACACATTGCTCCTTTAAAGGGGTGGTAAAGTATGATTCCACTTTTCTAACTTTAGTTTTTGTGTGATGTTGCTGTTTGAGCATAAACAAAATTATCAAAGTTACAACGCTCAAAGTTCAAAGCAAAGGAGGATATTTTCTTTTAAAGAAAAGGACTTCAATAAACGGCTGGTAGGGACTACAAGACATTCCTCCCAGCTTAGTGACATCACCAACCCTAAAATGTGCATAAACACCGCCCCGGGAACACGCAGTCCATGTTGAGGAGAGGAAGAATGGTTGTATAAGAGTACATTTGTGAGTCAGCTCAAATTTTAGCATCCATCTTTTCACATGCAATAGAAAGTCACTCTGTGTGCATCTCACAACAGTTTCTATATGAGCGATTTATCAGACTGATCTCATGAAATGGTGTATGTATGACATGCCAATTCGTATTTCCATTTTTGGTGTGCTATCAACAGCCGTTGACTTATTACTGTAATTACTGTATATGTAAATATATGACTTACCTCAACCCCGTCCTAACCGACCCGTCACTGGGGTTAATGGCATTTATGAGTCTTCCCCTACCATCTCTCCCCAGATGTAGATCTACATTTTGCTTCGTTTCGCTCGGAAACGAAAACGGCGTGTACATTACACGCGGAATCCCTCGGACGTTTAACGGCATAGACATACACGCATACATGCGGATGGCTCTAAATGCGTATAGATAACACGCCACTTGACTTGAAACTGGCTTGTATGTTTACGCAAAAGTCATGGTGTCATGTTACGATTACCATGGCAGAATATCCTAATTGAAAATAGTAAACTTCTCATCAGCAACATAAATTCATCAACTAACCATTAAGAGACGTCCTGTTGCATTCTACATGTTGTCACTTCTTCTTGAGTCTTTCCATCTTTAAATGAGCCCATTTTAACATTAAAGGGAGAACAGTTTTTGTCATTTTAGTGTGTCTGTATGAATGGTAAATGGTAAATGGACTGCATTTATATAGCGCCTTCATAGACCTAATGGCCACCAAAGCGCTTTACATTTGCCTCACATTCACCCATTCATACACTCATTCACACACCGACGGCGGTGTCAGCCATGCAAGGCGCCATCCAGCTCGTCGGGAGCAGCTGGGGTTAGGTGTCTTGCTCATGGACACCTCGACACTTGGTCAGGTGGAACCGAGGATTGAACCACCAACCTTTTGGTTCGTAGACAACCCACATGAACCACTGAGCCACTGCCGCCCGTATGAGGAAATCGCAGCAGCTAAAACCCCTCTTGAAACCCCGCACTCTGCAGCAGCTCATTTGCATTTAAAGGGCCAGGCACAAAACGGTGGGTTTTTGCAAACCCTCAAAAAGTGACAATTTTAACATGCTATATAAAAATATCTGTGGAGTATTTTGTGCTGAAACTTCACATAGTTACTATTCACTCCCATTATAAAGCTGAGTCAGGATATTTTTATTTTTTTATGTATAGCTCCGATTGTTTTTGACTGAAAAAAGAAAGTCAAGTACACCTAGGATGTCTTGAGGGTGAGAAAATTGAGGCAGAGCTCAACCACTGCACTGTATGGCTCTTTTTTGATGCTTTTATGGTGCTTATGTGTTATTTTTGATGCCTGAAACTTTAATTGTGTGAAAACGAACGACCAGTACACTATTCAAAATAACTTGAGAAGCGTTAACAGGATATTCTTTCACAAAAACCCCATCACATATGTTTGTGGGAGTGTACATAATGATAGAAATTTTGTTTTTAGGTGAAATATCCCTTTAGCATTATATTTGAAACTGAAAACTAGAGGTGTTTTGTAATCTCCTCAGTGTGTGACTTCTCTGCAGGTTTAGCAAATCCTTTTTGACAAAACGAATGTGTCTCTGCTCTAATAGAATAGCATATCCTTTTGTCCTGCTGTCTTACTTCTGCTTACTGAGAGGAAAAAACACTTTTGGCCAAAGTCTATTCAACTTCAAGGTTTATTTCCATGTTTTATGGCTTTTTGAATATTTTGATGCTGAATGCACAAGGCAACTGCTTCTTTGACATCACCCAGTGTTGCCATACCAGTGGACTATTGTTACTTCTGTCTGGGCTCCGAGACAGGCACATGTGTCCAAAAGCATTACGAGAGTTTGCACTGCACTAAAATGGGAACGTTCAGCAATAAACCTTCGCAGATTTGTTAACAGTAAGAAGCAGCTCTGTAATATCCTCATTCATCTCCAGTAATAACCTGCCAATTCTTATTAGTTAGGTTGCATTACTTCATACGTTCACACTATTATATATACCACAGAAAGATCATGCTGGTCTTATCAGCTTCTGTACAGATTGTAAAGATGAAAATTATACTGTAGCCTTGTAATAAACAACAAAGCGGGATTTCACAAATATGATGCGGCCCTGTCTGCACTGACACATTTCTATGTAATTTTGCCAAAACGAAAGTATCAGATTCGGTGAGAATTTCCCTCAATATAACCCCCAGATTTATTTCTACTTGTATGGAGAACCACCCACAAAGTAATATTCAGTGGAACTGGAAAGGCCTAGCATGATTTTTGCACAGTTAGACATTAGGAGGGTTCGACAGCGAAGATGGAAAAAGCAGCTTTATTGTAATGTTAGAGATTTCCAGCAGAGCTGTATTTGGCAGCAGTGAAGAGAGAGGATCATTGGATCTTCACTGAATGGAGTTTAGTGTGGTTTGTACTTCAAGCTCCTATAAAGATTCATTTGAGTTATTTATTGTTCAGAATTGAACCCCCTCTTTCAATGAAATGACCTCCCCTAAAAGTCAACATCACAAATATGACATCAGTTCCAGTTCAGTGGTCCACTGGCAGCAGGATCGATCGTATTGATCTGAATAAGAGCTTGTCAGGTGTATTTGTGCGTGCGTGTTTGGGTCCATGTGTGAAAGAGATTAAAAAAAAACTCCTTGCTCAGTGATTTTTAAGGACACTGGGGAATGCATTTTAATGCCCTTCTTATATCCCAGTGTGCTCCTGGTTGATAATCTGCCGTGCTGCACGTGAGTATGCAAAATGTGATAAATGGTGTTGCTTACAAATGGCATATTTATTAGTTCCTAGTGCATTGTTGTGTTGTGCTGAGTAAAGCATAAAACAAATTCCTGGTTTGATTGATGAGAATACCAAGAATAACACTTGAAGTATATAAAGGGAAAAATGCAGACGGATAGTGCAGGGGTAGGTGTCCGATTCGTAAGTGAAATGTCCAAGAAGAATCTCTGTGTGTTCGTGTGATTAGC